GCAGGCCTCCTTGCCAGTTTACAGAACATAGTCTTCTAGTTGGAGGGCTGTCCAGTCCAAGTCCACTTGAAAGAAAGGGGAAGAAACCAGAATAAGGGAAACCAGGATTGAGTTGTAAGTTGCCCAAGCGCACTTAAGCACCTGGACAGTCTTCCCCACAATGGTGAGATGCCTTGTATTTCTCTTTAATTAGTGTAATTGTTTCTACATTTGCATCTATTCATCTGAATTAGGAGGTGCAAATCCCTATCTTTCTTTGTCCTATTTTGGCAGAGCCTGTGAAACCACCCTAATAGTGTTACACTGCAAATCTGCCAATAGGAATTTGTCATAGTGTTGATTTGGGGACATCATCTCAACTTGGATATCAGTGGCATGAATTAAACATTATTTGTTCAACTGCCCAACCCAGGGACTGGATTAGGATATAGAGTTTCCAGTCTCATGCTACATTACATGCATACCAATTTCTCCTTCTGCCTTATAACTGGAACAATGAATATTTTGAATCTAAGAACAGCAACAACAGTCATATGTTAAAATATTCTTCTTTGGATGCCAGTCTGTTGACCGCTATTCCAAAGTCCTGTTAAAATGTATGGGAGTGGAGTTGGCGCAGTATTTGAAGGATCATGTCAGTTAATAGGCAGTCAGCTTGAAGAATTTGTAACAAGCCTGTCAACCTCTATCTCCTCTATAAAACACAGCAGAATAAAAGAAAGATCGATACAATACTGCTACAGAAAGGCATAATAAAGAATGGTGGTTGCCTTCTCTCGCTATGTCTTTCTTTCTTTCATTTTGCCTTCACTGCTTTCTGCCATATATTAACTACCCTGGCATTACATGGGGCCTGAGAATAACTTCCCTATAATAGAGACTTGGGCTGCTGTAAGAACTTTTTTTTAAAAATCCCCATTAAGGCTTTTACTAGAAGAAGTCATTTCCTTTGTATCAATAATGCATGCACGTGCCTTTGAGATTCAGAATGCATAATACGTTTAAAGGTGCTGTTGCTCCTGTGGAGCTGAAACTGTTTGTGTCATTAGTGAGAAAGCAGTCTAGCCCTACTCTCCAGCCCACAGAACTTAGGAAAGCCTGGAATGTTGAAACTTTCCACCATGTCAGAGCCAGGATGGTCAGAATGTTTGGCTAGGGTAGTCTTTCCCAACCTGATGCCTTTCCGATGTCTAGACATCCAGCTCCCAGCAGCCCCGGCCATGGGAGTTTTTGTCCAAAGCATATCAATTATGCAGAATGCTGGACTAGTTCATGGGTTCAAACCTCCATTCAGCTTGATTCAGCCACTGTATCTCAGCCTAACTCACTTCACATAGTGGTTTTGAAGATATAATGGATTGTTATTTATGCTTATACAAGGAGCAGAATAAAAGTATAATAAATACAAGGAGAAAAATAAAAGTATAATAAATTTATATACAGTACAATTTATTATTTTTATCTATTCATTTAATTTCTTTATATACCATCCAATAGATGAGGCTCTCTAAGCAGTTAAAATTAAACAAAAGTTAAAGCAACACACATACACAACAATAACATTAAAACAACAAAACCATAATTACAATTGCAGTTATTCGACACAGAAGCACAGAAGCAGTAATAAAATGCATAAAACAAAGAAAGTTAAAATGTTAGTTGTTTAAAATGCTGAGAAAATAAAAAGTTCCTCACCCAGTGAAAAGAATATAGAGTAGGTGCCAGGCACAACCTCTTTGGGGAGCTCATTCCATAGCCGGGATGCCACAACCAAAAAGGCCTTCCTCCTGATAGTCACCTGTCACTTCTGGAGACTTCTGAAGTGGCTCCTGGAGAAGGACACCCAAAGATGACCCTCAGTCTCCAGTTAGGTATATATGGAAGGAGGTGATCCTTCAGATCTGAAATAGAAGTATTCTATCAAGGATTAGGCTTTGTATGTCAAATTTTCCCTATGGTTAGGGTAAGAGTAATAATACTGATGATGTTGAAGATGATGTATGTAGTCATCTTTAAAGGTAGTTCAACTCAGATTTGAATTAATGACAAGTAATGGTAATGGAAATGCTGATGTTATGCAAAGTGTTGAAAAGTAAATGGAGTTGTATGATTGTACACAAGAAGGCTAGGAGAAAGAAAGGAAAATGTCAGCTGGAGTATGTTCTTAATTTCCCAACCAATTACATCAGAACCAAGCTGTCAGGGCTTGTGCAGGAGCTGAGGAGCAGATGCCATGAGATAAAACATTAGTCGGGACCTAAATGTAAATTAGAACTAAATGACAAACTAAGAGGCATTCCAATGAACAATCTAGGGCAGACCGCAAGAAGTCCTCTTTTATTTCTTTGTGTTCAGGGGGATTCATGGACATCCTAGATCAGACCTGGGCATTGTACGGCCCGCGGGCCACATCCAGCCCGATGGCTGACCCTGACTGGCCCGCATGAGGTCACTGGCAAATTAAAAGTCAATGCAAATATATATCATCGTTCAAGCCCAAAACAGACTAGATTTCTCTCAATGAACAACAACAAAAAACTGAGGTAATGCAAACAAACAAAACTGGATGTATTTATAGGGAATCCGAAAGCAACTTAGATTGTTGAGTTTTCTGTTTCTCTGTTCTGTTATAATCCGTAAGGTCTGTACCTTACTATGTTAAGTGCTGGGAGATTACCTATGTTGTAAATTTGCACTATATAAGTAAAATTGAATTGAATTTATTGCTTTTCATGTAATGTTAATGTTAATGTTATTGTGAATATTCATTAAATAGTGTTGTTCTGTGCTCCACATTTTCATTGTATCATTGTAATGTTTCATTTACTGTTTTTATAGAGATATATATTGAGCAGAGCTGTAAGTGTATTGGTCCGGCCCTTAACAACTGTCAAAGTTTCTCATGTGGCCCCATAGGAAAATTAATTGCCCACCCCTGTCCTAGATAGATGGATTCAATCTAGGGCAGCCTTCCCTAACCTGGAGCCCTCCTGTTGGCTGGAGATACTGGAAGTTGCAATCTAACAAATCTGGGAGGTCCCAGGTTGGGGAAAGCAGGTTACACCTAAGGTTACAACCCAATGAACTATCCTTTGCAGTTCACTGTTTCACCACACAGGGCAGATGCAGAGAAGTCCTGCAAAGTCAGATAAGCAGCACTGAAGTTTCTCAGGGCCACTTTCTTAAGATCAGATTCACTTTCTCCCTACTACTGTTTTTACCACGTGCCATCAAGTTGTCTTCAACTTATGGCAACCCTATGAATGAATGCCCTCCAAAATGTTCTTGGCAGCCCTCCTCACCTCTTGTAGAGTTAAGGTGATGACTTTCTTTAAGAAATTAATCCATCTCCATTAATCCATCTTGTGAGCCGCCCCGAGGCTTCGTTCAATGGGGGCGGCATAAAAATGTTTTAAATAAATAAATCTCATATTTGTTCTTTCTCTTTTGCCTTTGACATTCCCCAGAATTATGGTATTCACCAGTGAATCTTGCTTCTCATTATGTACTTGAAGTATGACAGCCTTTGGTTTGTAATTTGGCTTCCAGGGAAAGTTCTGGCTTGATTTGATCTAGGACCCACTTGTTCATATTTCTGTCAGTCCAAGTTATTTGGAAAGATCTTCTCTATGTTTTGAAAGCATTGATTTTCTTCTAGTCAGCTTTCTTCACTGTCCAGCTTTCACACCCATTCATAGCACTTGGGAATACAATAGTGTGGATTATGAGCCTTAATTTTCTGGTAACAAAATAACTACTGATCTTGACTTGGCCTCCAGTGAAATATCCTTTCACTTAATTATCTTTTCTAGTTTCTTTTTTGCTGCCTTTCCAAGTCTCAGCCATCTTCTAATTCTTTTGCTGCAGGCTCCCTTTCAGTTTCTTCATTTTTAACATTAAAAAAAAGTGATTATTCTATGGTCACAATTATTGTTTCATTTATTAATGTATCTTCTGCCAATTTTCATTCCTTCTGATCCTAATCTGTCTTTCCTTTCAATATATTTTACATACAGACACAGGTAATATACCTTTGTCAGGTTGCTTTGCTATAGGATACCATTTTGTTTTTCCATATCCTCATTCCATAATCATATCTTCTTGTGCATGATGCAAGTTACTCATCAGGACAATCAAATGCTGAGGCATTTTTTTTTTTTCAGAACCATCCATGACTTCTTCTGATTGACACAGGAAAGGGCAATGGTGTGGTTTATAATGCATAGACTGTTCTTCAGAAATTCTTTGATGCAGTCCAGCAGCCAAGTGGTTATAAACTGACCAGTTGTTGCAATGCTGGGTTTGGGTTTAGGAAACCTTTCAACGAAACCTGCTCTAAAATAGGTGTTGGTATGCTGTTGGGTGTGCTTGTATTCTTGAAACTCTGTGTACCTGGTGGTTGTTTCTCATTTTCTTGACCTCTGCAGCTGAAAGCCTGTCTTGGCAAAGCAGGGGCTGTTGCATTTCCTTTTGTAAAGCTTTTCCCTTTGCACAAAGGGGAGGCAGCTGAGGAGTGATTACTTTTTTTAAAATGTTAACTGCCACCAATTGAGGATATGTATTAAAGCAGGTCATCCTAGCCTTTCAGTGCATTTCTGGGTTGGTGGTAGTAATGATTTTTTTTTATTTTGTGCAGGACTTACTCTAAATTTGGCACAGCATTGTGTGGATACATGCATATTTTTTAAAAAAGTACTAATTGAAATTCAAATATAAAGAGGTTTCTTGGGGGTTTTTTACTATTCACTGTAGTTGTCGTTTGTTTTAGTCCTTGTTATGCCTGCTGCACCTCAAAAAGGCAGGCCTTGGTTTTGCTTTTAAATTTAAAGAAATTTACAAATGGTTTAAAAAAACAGACATCTTGCATGGGAGGGAACAATATTTATTCATATTAGGTAAAAGAAAAATTGCTTTGACTGTGGTGAGTGCTGTGGGGGGGGGGGAGAAATCTTTAATGAGATGAAGTCTTAAAAAACATGCAAATGTGTTCTATTGCCTAGGTAACTATTATGGAACACCCAAACCTCCCAGCCAACCCCTCAGTGGGAAAGTGAATAACACTGATGCTTTGCAAAACCTCCAGTCAGGCTCCAAGCAGTCGACCCCCAAACGAACCAAGTCTTACAATGATATGCAAAATGCTGGCATAGTGCATACAGAGAATGAAGAGGAGGATGACGTTCCTGAAATGAACAGTAGCTTTACAGGTAAATATTTTCTTGTCCTTATATGGGAGTGGAAGGAGTGAAATTGAGATGTATGTCTTGGTGGTGCTTCTCAAAAAGATTCCCCTGTTTTGATGTCCAGAATCTTACTCCGCATTATAATCTGAATTATATAAATGTATGTAGCTCTCCCTTAATAAAATAAGTATAGTTTTTCCCATGGTAAACTGTAAGCATTTCCTACGCAAACAACATAACAGGACCCATTTCTTGAATTTTACAGTTAATGTTTGTATTGCAGACTTTAGCAGAGCAGTAATGACTCTAACAAAGCTGCCTATGATCTTCTGATTTAGACAGACATGTGATGGAGTATCATTTAGGAATTGGTTTCTAGCCACTATGCCTATGTTTCTAATCTCCACTAGTATATTCTCTTACCTTGGATGAATCTGTTGCAAGACTCATATTGATCCATAGATTGTATTTTAACTCTATATAAATAGATACCTGCCATTAACAGTGGGCATTTTTAAATGTATAAACATTCAAATGCTGCTTGGTCCTCAGTGCTTTTGACAGCCCTGTGCACATATATTTGAAGGTAAGTCCCACAGAAATCCACAAGGCATATTTCTGAACAAATATGGTTTGGACTGCAATGTAAATGCCACAGTGACTTCAAACAAATGTAATAGAATGCAGAAATTATGTGACTGCATTTATGTGGAGAGGAAAAGATAATGTGAACCAGAAATATGGTTCATAGTTTATGGTTTTACATGATTGCTAAGATTGCAGCGATCCTCACACTCACTGTTTTTAAGGATAAAGCAATCATGGAATTGCAACACTCCCATGTAATACATCCTCCCAAGGATTTCTGTGGGTAGGAAATTTGCTGTTGCGTGTGCAAAACGAGCTTTTAGAGCAAGAGAAGGTGTTTTCTTTTCACTTGTTCGCCTCTTGCTAGACACAATACAGATAATTTTGTCTTGACGGCCCATCTTGAAATCTATTATAATACCCAATTGTAAGTTTCATTCCATGAGATCAGGATGAATCTTGTTTCTTATACCAAAAGATAAAATGCAAAATGACTGTCAATTTAAAAGTAAAAAGAACAGCTTCAAGAACCTATTATTTGGCAAATAGGATACAGTTAGTTGAAAGAAGAAGCCATTCATTCAGGTGAAAGACATTTGTGTGTGCCACACTAGATTTTAACTTTATATAATTTGTGCATTAATGCTGGATTTGTTGATTAATTTTTCTAGCTATATGAAGGCAGGTTGAGTAATCAAAGGACTTCTTAAGCATTCTAATCTTTGCTAAATATGTTTTAAAGAAATTATACGTATTCAGTTATGGTGCATTAGTCTTTTGTGAAAGAGAAGGAACTGTTTTGTTATCTTGTATATTTATAATATTAAGCACTTGTAGGAATAACTTTTTTCAAGTTAAAACACTCTGACTGTACTGGTTTTAGGCTGAGCATATTTTCAATACCTGGTATTGATTTTTAACTCAATAATCTGTAAAAACCATATTATCAGTGGCATTGATTATATTTCCTATAAAATTGCTTTTGTACTAGTTGAGTTAAGCTTCTTACTTATTTTGTGTGTAAGCATATAATTACTAGTTGAAGTAAGTTTCATATTTACTTTGTGTGGGCCTTGTGTTCTATGAACCATAGGGAATTTGAAAGCTCAGTTCACTTAATAACTTTTCAGGGACAAAGTCACATTTTCTTATTCCTAAGTGCTGCAAGGCAAGGTCATTCTAAGGACTGATTTGAACGTTTGTTGCATAGTCAACCCTTCTAACAACAAAACTCTATGGCTGCTTGCCCTCGAAGAGGGATTAGAGGGAACATTCATTGTCAGCAAAGTGAGGGGACCTCACCCAAGATATGATGTATCCTGGTGGCACCTCAGCTGCTTTCCCTCCATCTCCAAAGAACTGCATTTAGACTGCTGAAATCATTTGGCCATCTAAGTGTTTTGCAAGATAAGGCGAGCATGGAGGCAACCTTTGCCCCCATGAAATTTCTGCTTTGCCTAAAGTGTGCATAATCCTAAATTTAGAGGGTTGCAGGCATCCCAACTGAATTGTACCTTTAATCTCAGTTGGGGAACATTGTATTTAAATGTTCCTCTCTATCAAGAACTAACTACCTGCTTGTGAAAAGCTAGCACACCAGATGTCAGGTCTAATCTTTCTGATATGGAAGACCTCTCACTTGCATTCAGAAGTGGTATAGCTGCAGGATAAAAGCATAAATATCAGTATGACTTTATGGTATACTTTGCAAAAATTTTCAGATGACAGCCAGGTATGGTCTTCTGAATTTGAGGGGCCTGACCCTTGACTGTATAGTTCTGGGTTTCACATAATTAGATGAGGGCTTGTTTGCTTGTTTTTTTGCAGTTAAGCTTTGCTTTAGACAACAATGCATGGTCTAAAGTGACATTAGGATGTCTCAGGTTACTTTCATAGCAAAATATATAGTTTTTCTGGATTGTTTGAAAGTAACAGTGAAAGCACGCATACCACTGATAAGCAGTTAATACAGGGGAAATGCCAACAGTGTGCGTTGTGATTTATGTTACACTCATCTTTACTAAGTAGGCATCTTTTTACCTACTGTATGTACCAGCATGAAAGACAGCTCTTGAAACTGGAAATAGCAAGGCAAAAATCAGTGGCTTTCTAGTAAGCCAGCTGAAAAAATGTTATTTTCATAATTTAAAAAGAGAGAAATACTAAAGACAATTGTATTTACAAGCTTATTTTTTATTAATAATCATTAAAAAAAAACAACCTACTGGTACCAGGGCAGCTCACCTTCCATTGCATCATGAACTTTGCATGTGGGACTGGTGCCCACCACACCCTCCCCAGGTGGGGGGCAGCACACCATCCTGTGGCAGCAGCAGATGGGAAGGGGAGCATTCCCTGCACAGCTGCCTATGACGTGACACAGCACTGTCCATGCAGGCCTCCTCCCTTTTGCTTGCCCCTCCCCACACACACTCAAGTGAAATCATAGAGGGAACATGACTGTTAGCTAGCATGTGGTAACATAACCTCATAAGAGTGTAGAAGCTTCAGGCTGACAAGTATAACTTCCATATAAGATCTGCTTGAAACAGAAAATAGCTAAGTAAAAATCGGGTGGGTGGGTGAGGGTCATCTTATATGCCTGACTTATGACAAAAGCTAGAAAAACAGCCCAAAGTATTGGCCTCATCTTATACACAACTTGCCTTATACACTGGTATATACAGTATGTCTTACAATGCACTTCATTAATACTGCAGAATGATGAAACATGCCTCTTTCCTATATCTGAGCAAGAGGTGGCCCTAGATGATAGTCAGAAGATTGAGTTTCCTGGCATTGAAAACTTTCCAGTGTGGCATTTATCCTCTTTTGAAGGATCTAACAGTCTTTACCACTTAGTAATAATATCAAAAGCAGCCCTGGGTTAATGGATGGTTAGTTGCATTGCTTTACGAAGCATCTCAAACAATTATGAATGGAAGCAAGGTGAAAGTAACATTGTGCCATTAACTAAAAGCTGCTATGTTTTGCTTTTATTTGCATGTGTGTGTGTCTTCCTACAGCAGACTCTGGCGAACAAGACGAGCACAATACACACAGTACAAGAGACGCAGCTCCCTCATCTGTGAATAGTAACATCACCATTGTTCCCACCACGGAACCTTCTCAGAAGCTCCCTCAATACCTACCTCCTTGTGCAGAGGAAAACTTGGGTCCTCTGCCTGAAAACTGGGAGATGGCCTATACAGAGAATGGAGAAGTCTACTTTATAGAGTGAGTTTATAAAAGCTGATCAGGGCTATCAAGGACATGCCGTTTTGGAGGACATTCATTCATAGGATCACCATAATTTGGAGATGGCCATTACAACATGTTCATAGAATAATGTTTTTGTCTGTGTTCTTATTTTATATACAAATCTTTCAAAGGGGCTTACATCCCTTGAAAAAAATGCAAAAAGTGAAAAAATAGTCCCTGCTCTTAGGCTATCAAAAAAAAAAAAAACAAGACACCAGTGCAGAGATAACAGTTTGGCTGTTCCAGAACAAAGTATTAAGTTGTAAATAGACATTGACGGTCAAACAGACAATACTTTAAATCCATATGTAGCAGCTATATCTTTTTCTCATATTTTACACTTTTTATACAGTAGATGCAAGGTTAGGATTAGGCTTTTGGGAGCCTAGCTTGGTGGATAGGAGAGCTTTTCAGATCTCTCTTGGGCCTCCTGCACAGTAAAATCAGACAGACAAACTAACAAATGATGTAGATACAGATTAAAAGTAGTGTCTGTTGCAGCATTTAGTTGGGGTAAATCTGATCTCCTCTTGTTGGGTCGGAGGTATTGTCTTTGTTCTTCTGGTTGTCAGATGGGTTCTGAGTGTGCATCCTTCACACTCTGCAGTACTAACACAACTGGAAATTAGTCAGGTGTTCTTTCTGTCTGGTAGAAGGAAAATCTTCTAACCCTTCTACACTTTCGTTGTCCAATGGATGGATCCAAGCTGGTCTCTCCCTGACAGGATGCTCTTCCTAGGAGGCTAGGGAGGCTGATAGATGGGGGCCAGAAGATGCTGCCCTTCACCTCTGTGGTCTCAAGGTGGATTAGAAATTGTGGGTCCAGCCTTTAGAGTTTTTCCTTTATTTTCTTAATTTATGTTGATAGACCAAAGCATATTTATTGAGAAGTATATTGCAATGAATCCAAAGATGCTGATTCCAAGAAACAGAACTGTAGTTGTAACTATAATTATTATGGACTTTCTTCAAAATAAGGATAGTTTGAGAGGTTTCTCTAACAAACTTTGTGTGAGCTGCATTCAAACTGGACTAGTGTGATTTGCACAAATCAGAAACCAAAAACTACATCATTCTAGCATGATTTGGGTGACTTGCACTGTAAAGCTGAAATGTTTAACTTATGATTGTCACAAATCTGACTGTTCCAATTTCTTGGTATATTAACTTAGTGTGTTTCTTTTTAAGTGCAAATCACCACCAGTCTTAGAGATGGAGGAGATCTGTGACAAAAACCTGACTTAGCCCACATATGATCATCAGTTCGGATGAGGGCAAGAAATCTGTCAAACTCAAAATGAATTGAATTTCCTAGTTTTGGCACACCACTAGTAGAGGTGAAGCGAGGCCCTGTTAAATGCTGCTACAAGGAAATAATGAACGATTCAGTGGTAGGGAAGAAATACCTGAAATGTTAGTCATCACTGTAGCAGAAAAATAATAGGGTGGTGAGCTAGGAAGCTGGCCATTCATGTGGTAGTTAGCTCAGTATCTTGTGAAGTTCTGCCACAAGTACTCTTAAAGTACCTCACTTTCCTATATCTGACTGATGTTGAAATACTGTACAAAAATCCCTTTATCCTCATGAGACATAAAAAGTTTTGCACCTTGGCAGACCCACTTTACACCATTATTTTTGATTTGGCTTGCATGCTGGACTTCTATGCCCTAGTTTACCAGTTAGAGATTAATTGCCCTGAAGCACACAAAAGAACTGAATAGGTTGCTGCATTCTGCATTACAGGGGTGGGTAAAGTAGTGTGTGAAACAGTGACCTTCCACTCTAGCTTTCGTATCTCCGGTAATGGATAGCAGGGATGTGAAGTCTCTCCTTTGAAATTGGAACTATTATTTAGTAGTAAGTCTTAAAAGGAACAAGTGCATTCCTCTCCACATAATTTCACAGAAGGGTTAGATCATTCTGTGAACCTCTTTTGAGATGTGCGGAAGGAGCTGTGCTGTGCTATTTAAACAATTCTAAACAAAACTACAATCTATTTATCAGCAGGGTCAGGCAGAGTGTTTAAACCACTGTGTCTACTGGAAGGAAAAGTGGAAAATCACTGCAGCGCCCTGCAATCCAGTGACTCTGGTAGGAATATGGGCCCTTAGAGAAGTGTTTGGGAGGCTACAAGAAATGGGTAATGCTCCAACAATGCATCTCACCTGCAGAGCTACCATTAGGCAGAGTGAGGCAATTGCTTCAAGTGGCAGATGCAGGGAGGCAGCAGCAAGGTGTTGCTGCAAAGACCTGGATACCTGCTCTGTTCTTCCTAAGTCAATCTGCCACCTAAGATGTTGTACCACTGTCAGTACTGAAGGCACATTCATCTGTTAGTCCAGTCAACGTTTGTTCATGGAATGGCAGTGGACACCATCCTGTTCTTCATTTCATCCAACAAAATGGCTTGGGCTGGCCCTGCTTACTTGCTATCTTGCTATCACTCTTCCATCCAGCAGAGAGTGGTGCCATATGTGGATGGCTGGCCCTGGCCATGTTACAATCTGCTGACTTGTATAAGGCACTATTTTTGAGATGACCTGTAACAACTCATCCCTTCCAGTGCCCATTAGAAGTAAAGGGGCCATCCATTCAACACTGAGAAGTCTTGGCCATCACACAAGCATTTCAGAACACATAGGTGCAGTCTTTAACTTGAGCTGAGCTTCTTTGCTAAACCCTCATATCATGGATAGATGATCATGTCTGTCTTACCAGCTTTATTTTTTAATTAATTTTAAGATCAAGATAATTCTTGTTCTGTTCCTTATATGCATGAACCAAACACACTAGAGAGTTGCACGGCCTGCCCTGTGATGCGCATTGGGCAGTCATTCACTGTGGCATAGCCTGTGAGAAATAACTGTTTTAAAGCTCAGGTTGGATTGGTATTAGCTTCTGAGGAATCCAAGCTGTGATATGCTTGACTACATAACCAAGGACCCAGGATTTAGTGATGTCTCCTTGCCACATGATGTTTCCCACTACTTGAGATTCATTAGCATCCAAAATACTCAGTTTATATTGTCCATGTCACGCTTTAGCCACTGTGAGAGGAAGGACTGATACTTCTTCAGCCTCAAAGGAGTTGTAAAGCACATTGAGTGGTTGCTTAGAAACTGTTGAATGCTTCTTCCCAAAATATCGCCTGAAGAAAAAACAATTACAGGAAGACATGATAGCAGTCTTCTAATATCTGAGGGGCTGTCATATAGAAGATTGAGCAGAATTGTTCCCTGTTGTTCCGAAAAGCAGGACTAGAACTAATAGGTGGAGATTTCAGAGAAGCAGACCCATTGAAATGGATGTGAATTAAGTTGAACTTATATTAGATACAATCCATTAAGAGAAACTTGCTAGCAGTAAAAGCTTAGTGACAGTGAAACACATTGCCTTGGGTGATGGTAGGCTGATCCTTGGTGGAGATATTTAAGCAGAAGCTTGAATGGACATCTGTAAGGGATGCTGTAGTTTCATCCTACATGTTTCTTTTCAGATCTTTGCTGTAAATGTGTGATGTGAGGATCAATGGGAATGAATGTAGTATGAAATGTACTGCAGGATACTGACAGCTGAGTATACCATTTTGGGCTGGCCCACGGAAGCATTTGTGAAGTTACTTTTTAAAACTCTTTCTAACTCCTTGAAAGTAGTAAATGCATAGTAATTATTTTAAGCTGAATACTGTATGAGTTGGCTTCATATGATAGGAACCTGATATAGAGTGATGGAGAGGAGAATGAGTGGAGTATCAGGAAATACCTGTTTAGATTCTCTTCTCTTCTGTGAACTCACTAAGTGGCCTTAGCAAGCTTTTCTTTCCCAGCCTCAGTTTGGGTGATACATTCTGTCTTCCTTGGATATTCATAAGGCCCGATAGATTTTCAGTGGAACAGAAAGGTTGGGAAATGACATGCTTGTTGATATTCCTGGAGAAATAAATATATGAGACAAAGAATTAGTTAGTATGAACATTTGTTTCCACAATGCTACCAACATTCTGCCCATACATCTTCAAGTGCTACTGTGTGCTTGCTTTTTCCTAATGTGTATTCGAGCTTGAAGTGGTGGGTAGGTTTAGGTGTCTTACAAAGTTTCATCTTTATTGTCTGCTTGAAATTAATAAACCTTCCATTCAGATGAATAAACATGGTGGCCACGTATTATTTTCCTGTCACCAATACATTATTTTTTAAAAGGTCCTATTTCCATTTTTGATTTGCAGCCATAACACTAAAACAACATCTTGGCTAGACCCACGGTGCCTGAACAAACAGCAGAAACCTCTAGAAGAATGTGAAGATGATGGTAAGGGAATAAATTCTTATAAAGTCTGGAAATTCTTTGATCTAATTTGATATTTTAAAAGAATAGGTTGCACTGCCTTCCTTTTCTCACCTTTGTCCCCCTGCCCAAGTCAAAATTTGTCGTATAACAGGCTTCCCCATCCTGACACCCTTTTAGTATGTTGACTACAGCTCCCATCCCCACAGCTAACATGACCTTTGGTTGTTTCATGCTTGTTAGGACTGATGGGAGTTGTAGTCCAACACCATTGGAGTTTGCCAGATTGGACAAGGCTAATGCAGACTCTTTTCTTTGACTGTGGGCCTCAGACATCAGCACCCAGTTGTGGATTGGCAGGTAGCTAAGATGAAAAGCCTGCCCAGCCAGCTCACTGAGCGGGCTGTGAGCTGCAAATGCTACAGCTGCTGCAGCCACATTAGGTTTCATGTTATGGTCTCCCTTACTGGATTGGTTTTTGAATATAAGCAGCAGCAGTTTTTCATGGCAACGCAATCTTCAAGAGTTCTAGGATAGGAGGTTTCTTTAGAGTCCTCTCAGCTAGAGTTCTGATCTTCTGTACAGGATGAAGAAGCAGGCCCAAGCTATAAGAGTACTAAGAGATGTAGCATCTTTGCAGATTTATCTGTTGTTGAGCTCACATTATTGGCTTCCTGAATTAGATATATTTTTCATTATTTTAATTTTGGGATCACTAATTCTGGGACCAGTTACCTCACTGGTTTGCTGAGGTGTCTTTTGCTATTACCATCACACTTAAAATAGTTTTGTTTTTAAAACTGCTATTTGGAGAAAGCACCAGAGAAATGATTGAATTGAATTTCATTGCTATGGAAACCTACCATTAGGCTTGTGTCACTTGTGCCTGTGTCACTTAGTTTTGATTCCAATGTCTTTTCTTATTTTGGTGCAAAAAAGATGTCTATGGTGCTTCATTTTTTCCAGTGATATCTTTCAGCATTTATTGAAATAATAATTGACACTGATTTAATTTTGCCATTTCTTGAGACGCTGAAAAATGCAAGCTAGTGGCCACTTTAAGGATCCAACTGCCTTAATTGGAGACAAGAAAATTGGGAATGTAACAGCATTTGTTACAGCTCACTAAAGAGGAAGTCAAGAGGAGGAAAATGATAGAAAGGGTTGGCAATCCATTCTGATCCTTCTCTAACAAAGGAGACTATACACTTTAAAAACAAACCTGACTGTAACTGATGTTCTTGTGCTTTTAACAGTCTAAAGGCCCTTTCATGTACACAGTTAATTGTTCTTTATTTGCTCTGGGCTAAATTCCTCATGGATTAATGCCCAAGTACATGGAACAATAGCAGACATAACACATATACATTCACACATAAAGCAGATTGGAACATTCTGTTGCCCCAAACACATTTCCCCAGTCCAGCTCACTTTTGGAATTGGAGCACAGCTTAGAAAAATGGTGTTCAGACCACTGACAACTGACATTCAGCTTTCATATGAATGTCCTTTTTGATGTTATAATTAAAAACATTCCACTTTATACATAACTGAGGCAGGCGCATGAATGAGTACGTTGGCAGTGGCCATCACGCCCAGTTTGGCCCCAGACAGCAAATTCATGTATTACTGAATAGATGTATTTCTGAAACTGTTAAGAGAAGTTTCCATTTTGAATGTTTTCAAGTGACTGTTTAACAGTTCTGCATGGGAGATGTGTCCCCAAATAATAATCTTATGGTAGTACTCTACACTAGGGGGTTCTCTGGCCCTCGATTTTTCAATGATGCTTGAAAACATCTTGCCCTGTTGTACCACTTTCCATTTTCATTTCTAGGATGCTAGGATGTTGATTATATTTGACTATAGGCACAGTTAATATATACTAGTATTATAATTTTTAATTAGTAGCTGTGTGTCTGTGTGGAAACTTCTTTTATTCAGATAATTTTCTTCCTGTACCTAATTAATAGCTAATGAATACTTGTAGCAGCAAGGCTTATAGCTTCTCTGTTAACATTACAGGTGTGTTATTTTGCTTTATGATGTTTATCATTTTGATTTTCTTATTTTGACACAGTGAAGGAAATGTCATAGAGAAAAAAAAAATAAGGAAAAGTATTTTCTTTCCTAGTGTTAGTGTGATAATAAAAGCTAGTGATCTTGTTTTCACATAGTGCTATGCCCTAGATTATTAAACCCATGGTTTGATGACATATCTGGGGTTTGTGTAGCAGACAACTGGAATAAATTGTGGTTTATTTTCGCAATCCATGGGTTGTTCGTTTCCCTGATTCTTTGCCTGCTCATTTATTATATCCCAAATGATTGTAATACTGGGTTTATTTTTAAAACACTTTTTAGCCTTTTGTGTAGCCCGGCAACTCATAAACAAGTCACACTTCTAAATTCACAAATAATAAAAACTCATGGCCCAGTACAACCAAGAGTACACAAAGCAGCAAATTCTTTCTAAGTTGTTCATTGTTTTAAAAACAAAACAAAACTTAATTAGCACAACTGAATTTACGCATCAGAACAACTGGAATTCAACAGCACATGGTTGAATAAACCATAGATTAACATTGTCTGAAAACCAAATAAGTGAAAGAATATTGGCAGTGTTCCGTGATCTATACGTATGAACACATAAATGTATTCATATATTTTATTTGTACCCTGCCTTTCTTCAAAAAATGGCACTGGAGGTGGCTTGAGTTGTATTTATCTGGGTTGCACAGAACAGTAATCAGAATGAATGTGCCCATGTATTGTTTCATGACCACTCATTATTTCTGGTTTGATTCTTGCTTGAAAAACAAACAAGAAACACCCAGTTCCTGGTTGTTCATTGCAAACTCTGAACCCAGAACTCTGGATTATTCAGAGACAAACAGCTTAGCGTTTAAACCCATTGTTTGCTCTTAAGTTAAAACTATGTGTGGTTTGTCCTTCTACAACCCAGAGTTCTGGATTTAAATGTTTTATAATCAGGAAGCAAAATGGAAGTGGACTACTTGCTATGGAGCAGGCCAAGCTAGCTATGGGCTCCTTAACACACAGTTGGTTAAACATATAGATGGTTATTTGATGTGAATTACTTCACTGAATCTGATCTAGTGAGTTGTCTAGTCCACTAATGTGTACTCTGAGTGTCAGTTTCCATTCCAACTTCCTAAAATCTTTGAAGCAGACATTCTTGGGGTTGAGCCTGGAACTTTACAAAGTATGTGCAGAGTGTGTGCTCTACCACTGAATTATGTGGGTGGTTCTCTAAAATTAATATAATAACTTCACTAACAGTTTTAGAGATAAATCTTTTGGAATATAAATCAGATGAAGTTCATGTTGGATCTGTATGCTCTATTTGAGCAACAGTTCATTACCAGTTACAAAATCATCTAACTGAAAAATGTGAATTAAAATAACGAACAAGGTTTTTTATGTTAAAAAATCTCATGTTTGGAAGATTTTTGAGAACATCTGGATGAATTGTGCTAAACTAAATCCTTTCTCCTCTTTGCTTGCAAGTTTTATCATCTCATTTGCTGGCTGCAATTTTGTTTTTTGACAGAACAACATTCCCAGTCATTCATACCATCGTCAGCAGATGGAAATGCTGTATAATTAATCTATGGATAATTAGATGAGACTTTTTAATGGAACAGTTTTTTTTTTTAGCAAATGATTGTCCTTACAAACATAAAGAATAAAGTTAGACCTTATACTTAAGACATGTGTTTCCTAGGCTGGGATGAAAGGCCAAACTGTAGCAGTCAACATACATCTGAAATTCACCTGATTCTTCCATTTGAAGCTATTCAGTTGTTTGGCTTAGAAAAGATAGATGATACCATCGAACAAGAACAGACCCTGTGCAGACTCAGCTTGTTCCAGTAGGATTTGTTCTGGAGTTATACTTAGTGGGAACAAGCATAACAAGACTGCAGTTCTGAATCTTGAATTAAATTCAGTTTTGATTTGAATTTGACTTAATTAGAATTAGAATTTGAATTAATTAGCAGTTAATCAAGTTAGATTTTCTAATAGTTCATCATATATACATCAACTCTCCTTTGAGACTCAGATTCCTTGCATGTTGTAACATGCTGAAGTTCTACCTATCTACAAGAACTTTCCAAGTACATGGGCAAAGCCACTTTAAACCGTTCCCTTTGTATAAGGCAGTGGAAAGCCCAAGCACAGAACTCCATGTACACAGAGCGCTTGATTAGGTCAATTCACCTTATAGCAAATGAATTAAGATAATGCTGGCCCTGAGATAAGACTATCCCCTTGTAAAAAAAGAAGAGCAGGTCCATTTTATTATCCTACAGTGCAAAGACTTGCTTTTAATTCATTTGCCACTGGCCACACTCTCTCTACTGACTAACATGTCGTGGTTTGGGTTTGAGCTAGGCTGGTACAAAACTTGGTGTTGGTTCTGCTGGAGAGAATTTCTTGCTTGGTGTTGGTTTCTGAATTTTTCTTTTAATTTTTTTCTATCTCACTTACTGCTCTTCCTTTGGAGAAGAAGGGGTACACACGGAGGAACTGGACAGTGAACTAGGTAAATCATCCATCTCTCATTTTTGCTCCATTGGTTGGACTGCTAACTGCTTAGCATATTTTTCTTTGTGTCATTTTCCCTTTTTAATTTCAAGCATGATCTAATGCACTAGCAAAATGTTGCTGAGTTTCTGCACTGAGTGTAGCTTTTTGCACCAGTGCAACATTTTCAAGCAGGGCCATTGTCCTGGAGTCTTCAGCCCTTTTTCCATATAACATCATTGGAAAGTCTTTGCTCGAAGGGTATAGCTACAGGACAATAGATGACTTGTACATAGGTTGGCCTTTAGTGCTAAGTACCAATGTTTCCATATTCAGGGCAATATCAAATACTGCTGCTTCCATTGCACTTGCAGGATCTACAGCTAGTGGAAGAGGAACTAGCACATCCTAGAGGAACCCTGGAAAGGAGTGGAAACACTTGTTTCTGGAATGGAGCAGGTCAACAGGACAAGCTCCCCTCTGCAAGTTCTGCCTGTCTGCAGCCTTCTGGAAGCAAGTGTTTTTGTTCATTTCCAGTTGCTTCAGGAACCACTAGGTAGGCCCTGCTAGCATGTGGCCAGGGTTTATATAGAACTAGGTGCTTGATTTGTGAACCTGAGTTTGGTGTGGAATATTAGGGTCCGTATACTTCTGGCATGACTTCCTTTCCTCTTTATTATGGTGCCATGTGATACATGTTGTGCTGGAAAGAGACAGAATTCAGTGGGTGTCAGTATTCAGTGGATAGTCTGAATCTAGGCCGGACTCCAGAGTTCAGCGAGGAGCAGAACCAACATTCCTAGGGCTTGCTGAAACAGAGGCAAACAGAAGGAAGATCTCTTCCAGCTCCCAGAAGCCCATAGCATCATGGCCACTGGTCAGGAATGCTAGAAGTTGAAGCTCCAAACACCTGGAAATTGATTTCAGCATACTCCTGAACTAGAATAAACCTTTGCCTGGTGAGCTTCTGATGCCATGTGTTCCAGGTAATGCCAGAATGGTTCAGCTCAATTATTGGCCAATTGTGTCTTATCACTTCTGGCAGATTCATTTCGTTTAAACAGAAGGTATAATCAGTTGATGCAGTCAAGAGCATTTTTGATTAACCATATATGTTCTATTTTATTTGGAAATATGTGGCCAGGGGAGGATTTTAGACATTTGCTGCTGTATCTAATGTAGGAAGGCAGTTATTTAAAAGTTGGCTAAATTGCCAAATGTTACCTCATACATACTCTCCAACATGTCAAAGAGAACAGTAGGGATATGTTTGTTAACATATGCATTCACATGCCATCAGCCCCATCCCAAGCCCCATTCTTTCTGCTATTACACATTTTTGAAGGTCCTTTCTTTTTCTTTTTGTTTTTTGGCTATACACTTGCATTCATTCACACTGCAATAGTTTGTCCTCTGTTGCTGTACCTGCTTCAAGCGTAGTTTAAAAATGTTGTCCAACATATTTTGAACAACAGCTGCTGAGAGTGAACAGGTAGGGTTCGTGTATATAAATAGTGGTACATACATGGTAGCACTCTAATAGTGTACAAAAGACATGACACACCCACTTGCATCCAGAGAATGAACTTCTGCAATTTTGAGGAAGGAGCTCAGCTCTGAAGAATTGAGCGAACATTAAGAACTTTCACCAACAACATGTCAAGTTATCACTAAAAAGCAAAGGTAGGAAAAACAAAATAGGGATATAGTTTTACCATGGACCGGCACAAGAAAATAAAATTTATCCATAGTAACAAACACTTTTAGTTATTATTAGATTTCTAAGCTGCCCCATTAGCCACACAGCTCCCTAGGAGCTTGTGGTTAATATATTTCAAAATGGCATACTATATTTCTTTTGAGAGAATGACTTTCTCACATAACACCTTTTGGTATTCTGTTTGATTTTGATATTTATAAGGTATTCTATTTTATAAGACATTATGCATCCAAACTTAATCCACAAGTCTCCTTACTTTATGTACACTGATGTTTGCAGAGTTAAATACTATGTTTTCAAACACTTTAGGTAAAATATTGAAGTGCTGTAACAGGACCATTTTGTTAATGACTGTTGGGAGAGATCCAAATAGGTTTTTGTCTTCATGGTTTATAAAGTTGACATGTCCCTGGTGGTTCCATATGGAGCTTGACCTAGTTGGACCTGCCCAGAGAAGGGTCTTCAATGAAGCAACTCCTTTCTCTGAAGGTCAGGTGAGCACCAATATATGTTGTTTATGGTGCTGCATGGAAACATTTTTATTTCAGGAAGTCTTCCTGAACCAACCAGCCAGAAGTTAATTGGTTTTGTTTTTAACATACTGTTTTATTCTTTTATCTCCTTTGTATTTTATTGGACACTGTCCTGAAATCTTCATCTTCATGTATGGAGCCATTTGTAAATTTTGTAAACAAATAATCATTATTATTACAATACATTTATATCCCATCTTTTGCAAGAGACCCACAGTGATGCACAAGTTTTTCCTCCTCTCCATGTTATCCTCACAAGAATCTTATAAAGTAGTTAAGGAGGAGAATCAGTGGCTGGTCCAAAGTCAGCCAGTCATCTTCATGGACAAGTGAAGACTAGAACCTCAGTTTACCAAGTTCAGTCTAACACTCTAACCACTCCACCTGACTGAATTGCCTGATGATGATATCTATAGTCTCCCAAAGTGTCTGGAATGCATATGGCCAGTAAGCTCATTATGCATGAGGTCAAGTAGCTCTTAGTTCGTCCAATATGAGGATAATCTAGAATACTGTTAATAACTTAGAAGCATGTCTAGGTTAATCTGTATGAAAGGTATTAGTACAAGACAACACCATTGCCTTCCCTAAGAAATCTATGCCCTGTTAACAGGGTGAGCTGCTTATCCTTGCATCTTTTTACTACGTTTAGATCTCAAAAAATGCATAATGGTAACTGTCACAAGCGTGTTGAAATTATGTTGAGGTTACTGTATGTGCTCTTCACTCACAAAAAAAGGCATCAACTTTATTTTGAGTAGTGACTTTTTGCTTTGGTGGATAGTCAATACTGGTTTTAACAATTGATGATTATTTTGGAGTTTAACAGAATTTAGATTGTCATAATTTCCCCAAGCAAAATGTCAAAGAGAAAGACAGAGAGGATCGAGGAACTATTTCTGCAAGTAAACTTTACTGACGTTTTATTTGGCTCATTTTAAAAGGGAACAAGGGTGTTAAACATGGATCCACTCCATCTTCTCTGCTTTGGTCATGCACTGGACATTTGGATATTGCACAAAAGATACATGTATGTTTGGAAGCACTTCAGACAAATGAATATTTTTCCTTTCAGGCTTAGAGTTGACAAATAACTCAAAGGAAGGAAAAAATTATTGGTAGGTTTTCTTAGTTAAAGGGGTGCAGAATAAAAGAGTCTTCCAACATTATCCCATTTTGAAAGCTTTTTTGTCTTGCTTTGTCTTGCTTTATGCAAGCCCATTCTTTCAGAAAACCCTCATTTGTGTACAGCTGGAGAAAAGACCAACTTATCATTTTTGCCAAGAGTTTTCTTACAGCCCTCTTCAACCTCCCTTTTCCCAATTAGCACTGGCTTGCATTTCCTTTCTTTGTATCTCAAGGAATCCAACAATATTTCAAATGGGTAGCCTGAAAATATGTGGGTGGAGGGAAACCTGCCTTTTATTTGCAAACAAGGAACATGTGGAGCAAAACTCGTTAAATAATATTTCTTGATTTTTAGCCAGTTCTGGATTGCAAATATAAACTTTGAGTAATTAGCCCATGTGTGTTTATGAGGCTTTCGTTCATTTCCAGTCTGGAGCTGTTTGTGTCCTTATGGCACTATAGTTGGAGCCTGCATAACTAGAGAGCTACATCATATTGATTAATGTGCAACTGTTTGATTTTATAAACTACAAAATAGATATCATTAATTTAGGCTACAATCCTATACACACATACCTGGAAGTAAGACTCATTGAACTCAATTACACTTCCTTCTGAGTAAACACACCTAAGATTCCACCATGAAATAATGTGTATTTCATAGTGAGGAAATGAACATTCCTTTTTGTTGTCACCTTAAGACAATTCCCACATTGTTTCATTTGTACACTGCAGGAGTATAATAGTTATTTAATATTTTTCTGAATTGCCTCTCAATTCCATGAGTGATCTATGAGATCTACAATAAAACCATAAAAACAAGGTTTGCAACATTTCCAAACAGCACTAAAACTGAAACAAAATGAATAAAATGCATGTACTGCAATAAAATAGGGGAACCTTCTAAATTAATCAGTACAAGCTTGGTATCAGTGAGTTCCTGTCACAACGGCTGTATATTATCCTCCAGCATCAAAAGCACTATAATCTCTGAATGTCAGTTGCTGGGGAAAATGGAGGGTGAGGGTGCTGCCTGTGAGTTTCCTGTAGGCATCACATGAACATCAGGTTGGGCACTGGGAGAACAGACCACCAGACTAGATAGGCCGACATGGCTCTTCTTTCATTCTCAGGAAAAGTAACATGGCAGAACTCTGCTTGGACTGTAATGCATCATAATTGAGGTTGGAATGGTGTGATTGAAAGCTGCCCCATATTAGATCTATATATCTGTACATCTGTGAAAGTTCCCATTGCTTCAGCGTATTCATTCACAGGCTGAAATGATGGGTGGCCCCCATTTTCCCATCCTGCTTGTACATCACAGGCCCTGGGGCAAACAAGTCACATTTTGGGGGTTGTCCTTCAGTGTGACTTGATACGTTTCAGGGACTCTTTCAGTGTGTCTTTGGGCATCTAGAATTTATCTTGTCATGCAGATTATGCAGCCCACAATGTACTCAGAAAGCAAATGAGAGATAAGTGCATGCAGAGGTTACTCAGGCAAGCGTATGGAGAGACTCAGGTGTGTGTCCGGGATGCATACCCTGTGCTGCTGTTATGGACCTGCTATCCCAGAATATGGATTTCAGTGTCTCCAAGTGAAGTGGGTAAAATCCAGCTGCGGTTTGCTTTTAAAAAGTAGAGACTCATTTGAGTAAAAGTCATGCTTCATGTTTAACTCATTTTTCATTGAAAGAACATGAGAAAACAAAGAGACTTTAAAAAAGAAGCAGCAGCAAACTCAAATGTATGCTCAAATGATATTTCTTCATTGACTAATTATGCTTACAGAAGTATTTACGCCTCCAGTTAGCAAACCTGCAGACATGAAGCTCTTAGCTTTTCCTGAGCAATCTTCTGTCTTTCATTGCTGCACTTTCTCCCCCTGCACTTGTTTTAAAACTGAAAATTACTGTATGGTGTGATTAAGGGATGATGATTCTGTGACAAGTTTTGTAACATGATAAAATGACTGTACGTGCACAGAGACTTGCGCTGTCAGCTCCAGAATTCTGATTCATTTAAGTTGTAAGAGAAATATGAATTGCCTAGATAGAGAAGGGACACTGTAAGTCAGGCCTTGGCCAGTTTGCCTGTTTTATTTGCATTTAACTTCCGTGACATGATTTGGTCTCCAGCAACTGGACACGTAGCTAAATATTATGCACAAGTAATAAAAGAATTTGAATGAGCCACTGAAATTTGACATAGATGATGAATATGGAGCTAATTTTTTATTTGTTCCCTATCTCTGGGTTGTTACTTTCTGAATCAAAATTCTCTCTCATTTTTTTTCTTGGTCACCTTTTTGGGGGAGATCCCTTCCAAGATAGCATACATCAATAGAACTCGTGCTCTTGAACTTGATATGGTAATAGAAAAGGTAAAAACCAGGGAAATAATCTCAAAAGGAACAAACACAGGCACAAAATGAAACTGTGCAACTGCCGCTGCAACTAGTCTGGTAAGACATAGGCAGGGATAGGCCAGAATAAAGTAGCAAGTTTTTTTTTTTTCAAGGCATTTTAAAAGCCTGCAAAGATGGGAACCTAGTGGACCCTCAATTTACTCTTAAATGCCCAAATACATTTTCATTAACAGAAGCATCAGTATTTGAGAGGATTCTCTTGGAAACTAATAAGAGCTGCACGAATGTTCCTAGGTCAGAGGTGGACAACCTCCGAGCCTCTAGATGTTGATGGACTCTCACCATCCCTAACCAGCAATGGAAATGGTGAAGTATGATGCGAGTTCTGGTCTGACACCGTTTAGAGGGCTACAAGCTGCCCACATCTGCCCTAGGATAGTGATCAAGTAGGCTATGGACCATGGATGTTTGTCCTGCTTTATGGCTGTTCATCTTTAAAGCACTCTCAGAGACTCTTCTGTGGATGAATGAGAGATTCTGTGCTCCTCAACATTAATCTCAATAGCAAATTGTGCTAGAGTGACCTAAGAAAGCATAGCTCTCCCTTTCCCAACCTGGGTTGTACTGACTGGGGATGATGAGAGCTATTGTCCAACCCACTTGGAGGGTGTCTGTGTGGGGATAGATGAAGAAGCAGCCCTACGAGTGTATTATTCCTTTGAATGAATCGATTATGCATCAGAAAGAAATTGTGCATTTTTAGTTACATGTTTTTCCTCCAAGAAAGGGAAATCACTGTAATTTCCCTTTTCTATATGGTTTTTATTAAAGAACACTGCAGGAAGTTTTATGGAAATTGTTATATGGAAAGGTTGGGGAGGGAGCAGGATAAACCTGAAAGCAAAAGTAAAAATGTTTTAAAGAAGTACTGTTCATTTGTTTCTAGAACTACCTGCTGGTTGGGAAAAGATTGAAGATCCTGTATATGGTGTCTACTATGTAGAGTAAGTACACTTGCCAGTGTATGGGATTGTTTGTGTCACAGGACTTGCCCTGGATGAGCAGCATCCATCCACTGCAGCCATCCGTTTGAAGTGCACATTTGTCGCTGGGGAACAAGCTGCCTTGGCTGCTTTCTCAGGAGTCTGCTGCGGTGCGGTGTGTGCTGCAGCTGGCAACATGAGCTTGTAAACTTGCTTTTCCGAATGCTCTGATGGCTGGAGTGAGGAAGGAGGGTATGAGATGCATTGCTCTCCTTCTCCCCCTAGTGATCACTGTGGGACAAATCACCATTTTCTTCCTGCAAGAAGGGGATGCCATTCTCTGCATGAAAGGCACTTGAGACACAGTGTTCTCGCTTAAGCTGTGTGCTGGAAATAAAGAGAGTTTGAAAGAATTGTTGTGACACAAAAAGGGTGTGCAGTCATCAGTGGGTTCCTTAAAAAAAAACCTTCATTTCAGAAATAGTCTCAGAATGAAAAGCAGGAGCAAAAGATTTACAGGGTGTGATCTGAAAGGAACTAGCATTCCTGTAGATGGAATCGTTTTTATATTAGTTGAATTGCATAACAATTATTTTTAATTCATTTGTATCATTTCCAATTTTATAATGCAGTCCAAAGGACTCGTACAAAACCAATCATTGTGAACATTTTGTAATAATTTATGGGAACAGATGTGACATACAATATCTCTCTGATCTGGGGCATTTCTAAAGTAGGGATAAGGAACTTTTTGTAGGGTTGATTGGTTGGTTTTAACACAGGCCCTCTGTTTTGGGAACCAGAACTATATAATACATATTTGACAGTTATTTGCTAAGGCTAGCAGATAAATATTTATCAGTTTGGGGGTCTATTAAATGTTATGCTGAAAGGCCTCATCTATATTTTGGGGACCACAATGAGAAAATAGCTTGAGGGGCAACACTGCATATAATGGAAACTGTGGCTAAGCTGTATGCGATTCAGCATAGACCAGGGCCTTGTAGTTCTTCCCTTTGCTGCTACAGCCCTGTTTGTCTCCCAAAAAGCAGCTACAGAATTTGGAAGTTCTTCTGGAGTGCTTGTCAGCATAGCATGAGGGCCTTTTTTGGGAAGGGGAAATCAGCAAATAAACCTGCGCATGCTCAAGTCTTAATCTGTGTTAGGAAACTAGTGAGCATATAAACCAGGTTTCTGTCACAAACTGTTGTTCTTTTACTTATACAGTTTGCTAACTTTTAAGCATACCAGGGAGGGGGACTTTACTACATCTTTGTCAGTTATGTACAGATATGCAGACTTTTTAATTCAGAATAGTTGCAAGGTTCTGTTCTCAGGCCACAGTTAATTGCTAAGACTGCAGCAGTGCCTGTGCATATCTACACACACTCTTATGTGATTATTTGACTTCTGTGCCTGTTCAGCTGAGACACTTTGCATTAATTACACATGTCTAGACACAAAGAGACTTGGGTGGATTCACACAGTCTTACTTTTTGCACAGTAATTCAGTTTAAAGGATTGCTATCATATCTTGAAGGAGATGCAACTATTCCAATGCAAGGAAAATGTGTTTTGGGATGCAACAAAACTGACAGTATAATTCACTTTTTTGTATCTTGCCTATTATTGTGTCAGTCGAAGAAGGGGAAAAATTTTGTTACATACTGTGGCTAACTATGTGGATGAAACAGCATATGATATCATGTTTGAACTTTTCAGTTTCATACAACCTACATGGTGGCATTGTTTACCATAGCAGCTAAGAAATTATATTTGCATTTTAACCATTTCTGTTAATTAAACTGGATTGGTTAATATGCATAGCAATTATAACTCAGGCTGATTTTTCATTACACCATTTTAATCTTAGTTTTAATCATGACTAATTATATGAAGATTATTCATATTTTATTGTGCTTGACAGTTTATTTATGTAATACTTTGAGAGGTTGCAAAGTCTTTTGGCTACACAAGCTAAAGCCATATTTCACAGTTGCTAGCTTTGCACATACTAGCTACATTTCTCTTCTGATAGCCTGAACATTTGATGCTTTTAGTATAAGCTTTCAATGGGGGAAAAAGATGTTGCATAATGAAATTATCACTTCCAACAAGTTTATGAATCCACGGCATGGTTGAGATAGAAGGTGAAACAATTCTGAACTTGACTAAATCCCTGGTTTGCACAACATAGATCATCCTGGGTACAAAATGGTGGTCTTATGTAGCTAGCACAGATCACCACTCATCATGGGTTAAATAACCAGGCTGCATGAGTTAACTGCATCATTTAAACTGGCCCACTGTCTGCCTGTCCTTTAAACCACAGTTAGGCTCTTCTTCACAGAGCGCCTTCCACATATCCATCCCTCTCAAACACCAACTTGCAAGCTGGCTTGATACTGTCAGGTGTTAGTGTACATGTGGATTATGAGAACAGCAGTAAATCTGATAAGGGCAAACTGGGTGTTTTTACTGTCACACTACTATTTTTAGAAGTACCCAAGCACAGTTGTTGTCTTGACTACTACATATGACCTCCTAAAATTGCCCATAATGGTGGCAATTTAAGTTCACAAACACACAAGCACCTTTTCCTGCCTCTACTGAGGATCATTCTTCCTCATCATAGAATATTTTTATAGCCAGTTTGGAAAACTGTGCCATGTAACTTTACAACTAAGATAAAACTCTCCCATGATGCCATTGTTGGTTTGCTTCTTTTGGATGTAATATTTAGACTACCTTTAGCTGGAAGACTTCTGACATTTTGTCCAAGACCCATTCACTGTAAAAAAAATTGTGATTCAACAAGGGTTAGGAAAGTTGCTGTTGTGCAGTGTTTGGAGCAGTCTTTGTGTGGTTAACATCACCGGGTCGGACTTGAAGTACAAGAAAACTCTTCGTAGGGCCACTACAGTGAACTTCATGCTTCACACATGAACACCAACACACATTTCTAATATATTCAGGAACATCTTGCCAATCTAAAATTGGATGCCAATCTCAATATAAGAAGCTTGCCAATCTCATATAAGAAGCTATAAAAAGCAAAAGCTTCAAGCTAATAATGATTCTGCATTTATTGTCATGACAAGGATAGTGTTGTTTTGCTGGTAGATGAGAATGGACCTTTCTTTCCAATTACTTGTGTGTGCATCTCTATACTAGCGGTGTAACTGATATTTATTTTCAGTACAACATGGGAAATGGGGTATAACATCAAAGGTGTGTTTCTGAACACCTCTGAAGAACATTCCCTGCTCCCTCAAAAGGCTGGAATGAAAGGGAGAGTTTCTACAGTGATTCGTCATAGTCTATGAATCCTTAAGAGTGAAACATTTTGAAACCCTTCAGTGACATGGCAAGCCTCAGGACACAGGCAGCTGGTGCAACCTTCTACCCAGTCTCTAAGGAGAGCTCAGTCAGCTCTTTCATTACATTTATTGCAACAATAGAGATAAGTTGCATTACTGAATCTGGGGTCCTCACCTCCTTCCCTAACTTTATTTTAAGAGTTTCTGTGTGAGCTAAGCCAAAAGAATTCATAGCTGGACCCTGTGAGTGTCTTACTGTTGTTGATAATAGCTTTTTGTTTACATATTCTATAACTGCAACAAGGACTGCAAACCAGATGGACATGAGGGTAAACTTTGCATTGAGCTCAAGGTTTGTATTCAAGAAGCAAACTTGATGTATCTAATGCACGGGTACATATATGGGAATGTGATTGAAGCCCCATCTTTCTAGCTGTAAGGAAACTTGAAAACTTGTCCTTTGAATCTTGACATCTCAAAGAATGCTAGGAGAATTCTAGTGAGGTAATGGCAGCCTTGTCTCTACCCTGTAACATGGTGTCAAAGCACGTAGTAAACATGGAAATATGGATCCTATAGTTGGCTGTAGCTATAAACACAGTATCTTAACTTGTGACATTATTCTGGTTCAAAGAAGCTACTGTCTGATACTATGTACTACCATGTCACTATAAATGATCAGGCTATAAGGTTGCATATTACACCTTAGATTTTGTTATCCAGCCAGGTTCTCATCCACAGATCAACTCTCTTCAGGAGTTTGCACTGTTCTCTTGTTTTCAGTTGAGCACTGGCAAAGCTGGGCAGAGCTGAATTGCATTTCACTTGTGTGGGTGGTCTAGGCATGAATGAGTAGTGATGTGAGTAGAGCTAGTCTGACCGTGACAGAGGCTCATTGAAAACAATGGAGCTATAAATGCACTCAGGGAGAACTAGGGGTATTTTTAATCTGTGGGTTTTGTTGAAAACATACCTTGCAAAAAAGATCTTAGTGATGGCAGCAAGGCTGAACTTTATGCTTGTGGGATGAATTTCCATTCTTACATTTTCATCATATATTTTTACAATAATTTCAGCCCTCTGTGGTATGATTTTGGAAGCACAGTGCACTAATGCTGGGAGATTTCTCTTAGTGTAATTAGTTCACAGGATTTGTATCTGTGTCTTGCATGTGGTGTTTCTCTTAGCATCTCTGCAGTCAGCTGTTAAAAAGTTTCATTCTGGAGCAATTGAAATAGTCGGCATGTGTCATGATAATGCAGCATGTTGATAAAAAAAAAACCTTAGAGCTATCTCCCCCTTTGTAACTCCTGTGAGCCAAACAATGGCTGCTTATCTGAGAATCTGATTACTCCAGAGAAGATGCACAGATCTGCCTTGCATGAACCCAGGGCATCCCTTCTGCCTTAAGCTCATTTTTCACAGATAAACTACCCTTTATTTGAAAGCATCACCCAAACCTCTTTAAGATATAATACCAGATAAGATACTGTGCTTGCTTTCCTTCTTCCTTAGATCAACATCTTGGCACAAAGCAAAGCAGCATTGTGTCCCATTGGGCTTGCATTCAACTTATGCCCCATCCACCCACTTTTTGCGGGAGACAGATGGATTTTGAGCCTGCCTATCTTTTTTGCTAGGGATGCAGGTGGTACAGTGGTTTAAACTGCTGTGCTGCTGGGCTGGTTGATCGAAAGGTCACCGGTTCAAACCTGCACAACGGGGTGAGTTCCCCCATTCCAGCTCCTGCCAACCTTGCAGTTCGAAAGCATGCAGATGCAAGTAGATTAAAAGGTACCACTTCGGTGGGAAGGTAACAGCGTTCCATGCACACTGGTGTTTAGTCATGCCGGCCACATGACCTCGGAGACTGTCTGCAGACAAATGCTGGCTCCCTCGGCTAGGAAACGGAGATGAGCACCGCCCCCTAGAGCCAGGCATGACTGGACTTGACTGGGTGACTTCACGGGGAAACCTTTACCTTATCTTTTTGCTAACAGTACCAAGTGTTCCCTTATTCATAACAATTGTTCTGTTTTAGCCACATCAACAGGAAAACACAATATGAGAATCCAGTTATGGAAGCTAAACGGAAGAAACAGCTTGAGCAGCAGCAACAGCAGCAACAGCCACCACCACAACCACAAGCACCCCCAGAAGGTTGGTCCCCCACTGTGCAAATTCCTCAGGGTTAAAGTACTTGCTAAGCACCTATGGCATGACCGACCTCAAAGTTTTACATGGACCAATCATTTCATTCCTGTCAAGGCCCAGATCTCAAGGCCAGATAACAATAGGTTTAATAGAAATATATTGAAACTTACTAATTATCCTACTGTGCTGAAGCTAGCCCAGACAAGAATCATCATGCAGCTGTTATGCTGGTGGGGCCCCATGGTGAGTCCTGCAAGTTGTGAGTTAGCTAGCAAGAGAGCCTTTCTAAGGGGTTCTTCCCACAGCACACACAGGCTAGGCTGTCTTTCTGTGCTTGGTTTGCTGGGTTAGGATTCATATTGAAAGACATGGCAGTTGTGAGCAGCCTCATGGGGGTGGGGGCACTTCTGATTGTTTAATATACTTGTACATATAAAAGTATGTAAAACAAACACATAAGTTTTAAGTATTAAAGCAGCACCCAGGAGCAAAATGCCAAGCATTAGCAGACAGAAGGAGGGAGATGGCCTGTAAAAATAGATGGTCCTCCCTTTAATATCTGTTAAGTGGGAGAGAAACTTCTTCAGTTTCACAGGTACAAGGCATCTTCATTGTCTGAAAAGCAGAGAATGCTTCCAAGGAGAACCCTAAAAATGGGGAAAAGAATAATTTTGAACAATGATTAAAGAACAATGTTAGAACAATTTTGAGTGTAACACAAGATCTCTCCACATGGGTTTCACTGTTAGCGCTCAAAGGCCCAAGTGGCATACAGATGAAAGAAATGTATGTGGGCCTTAATGAACACAAGGATAATGCACAAGCACTGCATGTGGGAGGAATGGATCTAGTGGTAGAACATGCTTAGCATGCAGAAAGTCCCATGTTCAATCCTAGACATTTTCATTTTTCAGCATATTTAATAACGAGAAGTGCAGCGTGGAATTAAGCTGCCTGCATTCTACATTTCAGTATTGGGTCTATATTATAGATAGTAAGAAACCTGGGAATCTCATAGCATCCACAAGAATCAAGAGTTATGTTTCTCTTTGGCTATATATTATACAAAATTTAATAGATCTCTAAATATAGGTATACATGTGTAAATATGTATGCATGCAGTGGTTAAGAACGAGTGTAGTGTAGTGGTTAAGAATGCAGGATTGGGACTCAGCTGGTCTGGGTTGTAGTCCCTGCTCAGCCATGAAGCCAACTGGGTGACTTCAAACCAGTCACAGACTCTCTGCTCAACCTACCTTTACATGGTTTTTGTTGGGGATAATATTGAGAGCACCAGGAAGAGAACAATATAAGCTGCTTTGAGTTCATTGGGAAAAACAGGATATAAATATAATAAATGCATAAATGTATAATCAACAGACATGGGTTACAAATGCAGTCCAAGATGCAGCAGGAAAAGAATAGCTCCTACAGTAGACCACAATCCTTATCTGCATCTCACAGTAATGTTGCTTACATGGATGAACAGCCGGATGGGGTGGAAGCTGGGGTGGCAACTAGAGTGTCTACTCCTCGTCCATACAGAGCACCTGGAAGAAGGAAAAGCAAATATAGTCCCTCATCATTGAGCTTCTTACCATTCTACTTGGGCCAACAGATATTGGAAATAACTTATAAAATCGCTTTCTCACCTTGGAAGTAATGCACAATCCCCAGTCCTTCCTACCTGTACTGATCTCTGGAACAGCAATGCCAACCTTTTCCATCCAACAGGATAAAGCAGGCAGAAAACTTGATTTCATGCATTTTCTGCTGTTTTGGTTAATGGGTGAATCATATCTTAATCAGGCATCACGTAGGCACTCTGCTTTGCTTCCATGCATGTTCATTCTTATCCATATATTTTCTAAAATAGAAAATAAGTGGCACTACAATAAAAGACATCAGAATCTCTGGTGGTACATTGAACTAGTTTCAGTGTACTCTGAAACCTGGAGTACTCCTACAAGAGTGGTGCTGTTAACAACATCTCCTGTATTTGCTTCTAGTATTTATTCTCTAGTCAGACAATGTCTTTCATTACCCACATTCTCAACACTCCCTTGTTTAGGTTTGCTGTCAAACCTTGATCGGGATAGGCATTTTGTTTGGGGATCCCCTTTTCTAATTCCTCTTGGCTGAAGACTAGTTAAGAAGTCTTTGCTCTGAGATACGTCCACAGAGTCTGTTGTGACAACTCCTTTACAGCATGCCAAGGAAAGGTGGCTGTCAATAACAGCCAAATTGTGGTCTGCATGTGGGTCCCCTTCTGATAATAGATGCCCTCATGATCCAAACGAGAAGCAACACCCCTCTATTTTCTTTTCCCAGAATGGACGGAAGAGCACCCCCCTCTTGTGCCACTGGCTGTTTCAAATCATGCTCCTAGCAACCAGGAGGCAGTTCGAGATGCGCCAGTACAAGGTAAATTGCTATTAGAGCACTTACAATGACCACTGTCTGTCCACTGAACAAACTGTATTCAGCTATTTATGTTCTTCCTGAAGAATATGGGTTTTTTCTGAGTTGTCATGCACAGGTCTTTTATGATTTGCTTTAAAACAGAGATAGGCAATGCAGTGCTCTCCAGAAGTATTGGACTGAAACTCCTGTAGGCCCCAGTTATTACTGCCAGTGATCAAGGCTTGTGACACCTGCAGTTTAAAACAACTGGAAGGCACCAAGTTGCCCACCCCTGCACTGAATGGTAGGACAACATTTCAGTGGCAGAGCATAGGCTCTGTATGCAGAAGATCCCAGATTCAGTCCATCTCCAGGTAGGCCTGAGTAAGATTCTTGTCTTCTGCCCAGATAGCCCTCGGGCCAGGCATGGACTGGTGGTTCCTCTAGCCCAGACTGAGATCAGTGGAGGAGCTGTCACCATAGAGCTTCATTTGCACCTCAGATTTCAGTTCGCCCACATTGGAATTCTTAGGACCAAGAGTCTTTCTTGGTTATTCCTCATCTTTCTTCCATACTGGTCCTTGAGAAGTGGTGACATTGCATTATGCTTAGGCCTTCCAATCTCATCCTGTGCTCTCCTTGGTGATAACAGCCTTAGTGGCTTCTGGGCACATCACAGCACTATGAATAGATTACACACACACTTCGCAAAAGAAGGTACAGCTGTCTCTATCTCTCTCCACAACTACAGCTTTACTGGAAAGAGCTTGAAACAGTGGAACTAGAACAAAATGTAGCTTAATGTAGTATAATGTAACTAGACAATGTATGGAGTGGCACACCCTGCAGAAGAATTTGTCCTAAATTGCTGCAGAATTGTGTAATAGTAAAGACGTTTGTTTGACATCAATTTACACTTCTATGCAACTTTTTCTCCAGGGAGCTCAGAACAGCATACAAGGGCTTGGATCCAGCATTTGGGCTAGTGGATGACACCTCTGCAACGTGCATTCTCACTTCCTCTTTCCCTCTGCAGCACACTGCATCCCCAAGCAGACCCACGGAGTATCAGGGGATGAGGTTTGGGATGCTGTGTGTAGAGCTGCACTTGGAAGGAGAACTGGAGAAAACTGGACATAGGCAGTTGGTGCAAATCAGGTCTTTCTTTAGATCCCAAAGTCGTTACATGCAAAGTAGACTAAATCTTCTGCATTTACCAATCACATGGCACCTCTAAATTACAGAATTTGCAATGACAAGATGTGGTGATGGCCACCAAGTTAGACAACATCAAAACTCACAGGGACCAGTTTTGTCGGTAAGGGACAAAGTACCAGGGAAAGGCTGTTACTTTCATGTTCTGCTTCTGGGCATGCACCTAGTCATCCTCAGAAGCAATGTACTTGGTCAAATCTTCAGTTTAAGGATGAAGGACCAGCAAAGCTGCTCTTAGGCTTTCTGGTTGGTGTACGTTAAGTAAATTTGCCTTTGGAAGAAGAAGGAAAACTTAATTATCACAGCCATTTTGGTTTACTTAAGGGCAAGAGAGCATTTAATGCATGTTCTGCCTTTGAACAATCCAGAGCTGAACTTTTGAAAAAAGTTCTTTGGGTTGGAGTAGGGTAAAAGTATGTTTAAAATAAGGTCCACTGAGATGTTTCTTGTTATTTTCATTCACTGGGGCTTGAGCATGAATAAGTGTGTGTTCAGTTAAAGACATGGGTCTTGTCTTAGGTACATTCGAATCCATTGGAAATAGGAGTGTGTAGAGCTTCATACTCATGCAAATAAGATTGTGTTGATATTGCACGCCTTCAAAACATGCCAGGATTTTCTACTGTTAAACACAGCATCATACATAACAAGGGCCTATATATGTAGTTGTACAAACAGGTCCTCATTGGCAGCACTAGGAGCTACATGGCACGTTACCCTGAAGCCCCTTTTTGCATTCGAAGAGGTTTTTCACCTGTGTGAGCAACATGATATGAAAGCAGGGGCCAGCTGCTCTCTGGTGCAAGTGCTTTCTCTGCTCTTGCTCTATAGAGTACTCAGCATACTTGTCAAAGATGTTGAGTTGTAGCCTCTTGTGAATGGCTCAAGACTAGCTTAACTTGGGCCAGCTCCCCAGGAATTTCACAATATGTTGACTGAAGCTAATAAAAAGAACCACTGTGTGAACTAGGGCTCAAGTTGTAAGAAGATTAGGCCAAAAATGTGAAAGAAAATGAAAACAGGTAGGTTTTAAGGTATGAAAATAGTTCCTGACTTATTTACATTTTATTGCTTTTTATTCCCATTATGGAAAGGAGCAAATTGTGAAATTACTAATGAATTTAAGGTATAATTATATTTTTTCCAATGCCATATTCATTTAGTTAGCAATTCTATATTTCAGAAATCTACTTAGATTTTAAAATATTTAGTACCATTTAGCATGGCATTCTGAGTCACTTAAGAGTCTTGTGTGTCACCTGGACAGCTGGTTGTTTTTTGGATACAAGTATTTTTGCAAATACAGACTTCACATTCACATTGTCTAAAGGTGCCATGCAAAATTGTTTTGTCACTTTCCCTTTCTCTAAATATCCTATGGCAAATAGCTGGCAGCCATGACTTATCTTATCTACAAATGCCTGGGTTTGATGACAACATACGTGGGTGTGTTTGACCTTCCTATGCATTTCATCTGTGCTTATTTCTGAACACCGTATGCGCAGAGAACATGTGACACAGTGCTTTTTTTCAGGTACACAAAATACAAAAGCATTCAGCTATCTTGGTACTTCCATTTGACTGTGACCACGTGAGACTGAACACTGTTGGTTTACAGCTAGTATCTAAATTGCTTGTTAGATATTGAGGGCATGGATAGTAGCTAGGATTGAAGGAAAGAGAGCAGAGGTAGTGTTAGGGATGGTCCTCTAGGGCTGAAGCACACGGTCTGTGGGAGGCCATCTGCCACACCCCCTACTTTTCATAGGAACTTGCTGAAATAAAGACACAGGGCCCTCAATGATCTCTGGGACACCCACTCTTCCTGGATTCGCTGGCTTGTTGCTTCTATTGGCTTCATCTCCTGCTGCCCTCCCCTGCACCCATTGAATATTTCTGATTGAGTTTTTTCTCTGAAATCAAATACCCTCCTCTCACCTTGTTCATACATCCCTTTTTACAAATAGGAGTGGCCTAAGCAGTTACAGTTCTTTACAGTCACGTGCATAGAGATGCTTTAGAATATATGCAAACCGGCAGAGGGTCATCTGTGCAATTTTTGTCCTGTGGGCCTGAGGCCCAGATTTTTTCTAGTACTTCACACTGCCACTTAGAGAGGAAGGACTCCATCATTCAATGTTAGAGCATGTGGGTAGGAGCCAGGGTTCCATCTTCAGGCCATGAAGTGATATCAGCAACTTTCTGTGCTCAACATAAAATTATCTTGACCTGAAATTATCTTGATGGTCTAAAATTATATTGAATCTGATGGAGCAGTAATTTGACTTGGACCAGGGAAGCTTCATATGAAATTCAGCTGCTTCTAACAGCAGCAATAAGTTAATCTCATGGTCCCATTAAAATGCTTTGTGGTATATGATAATGAAAATGCTGTCATTTCCCCTGCTTGTATCTATGAATGTACAAGCACCTCTAAGTTGCTTGGGTGCTTTTATTTGATAGTGTTATGTAAGTAATAGAATGAAAGCACGGTGCATTAAAACTAGAACAACTTTAAAGTAAGATTTTGATGAGCTAGTATTTTGATTAGAGTTAGTTGCACTTAATGAGGCTATTTCACTTTTTTAAAAACCCCACTTTTTAATTAGGTTGTACATTGCCATACATTCCATTATATCACTGTCTGCTATCTCCTACTGGATGGAATGTTACCATATTAATTGCTGCAATGATTCCAGCCAAGTAGAGATTATAAGAGTGGTGCATTTTAATTGAATTGGCCCTTCGGGGTGGGTGTGTTCCAGCTTTTGAGCTTCCCAGGAATTCCTCACTTGCTTAAAAGGGAGAGCTCTTGAAGTTTTAAAGCTTGCTTCAGCTTAGAAGTTGGTTCATTGCCTTGTTGGTGGAGGATGGGAAAAGGGACAGTAGGGAGGAGTGTCTACACCTTTTTTTCTTTCTTGCTCGCTTGACATATTTGTAAACTTCTGAAACTTCCACAGCAGGAAAACCATTTTTCACACGGAACCCCTCTGAACTGAAAGGAAAGTTTATTCACACCAAACTGAGGAAAAGCAGCCGGGGGTTTGGCTTCACCGTTGTCGGCGGAGATGAACCTGACGAATTTCTTCAGATAAAGAGTTTGGTTCTTGATGGCCCTGCAGCTCTGGATGGCAAAATGGAAACAGGTACCTCTGTCAGTCTAGGGGGAAAACGCCTCTGCTTTATAACCATAAAATATCAGTCATTCAAGAGTATGGGGCAACCAGCATGGTCTAGTAAGGACACTGTTTGGGTTTTTTGACCATGAGGCCCTGTTGTCAAACTGCCAACTCAGATATAATTAAGGGGCCTTGAGCATGTTGATTTGCCTTGACCACAGCTCTCTAAAAAAACAAATAAAATCTTCCAGCAATAAAGGCATTTATAGCATTCAAAAGTGCACTATAATTTTTTGCCACTTGATCAATAAAACTCTGGTAAGTATTCCTTTTTCACCTTGATGGGATGCCATCTGAATCACAGCTAAAACAAGGAGTAGGCAGTTAGCTGATGACCCTTTTTATATGACTGTCAGAGGTTTAATCTAGCAAGTTTAATTAACAGTTTCTGTGTCAGTGCAGAACACTAACCTGGCGTTGCACCTTGCTAATTTCTTACTGTGATGTAACATTCATCCAAGTCTGGATATTGAAAAGGACAGGGTAGCATACAGCAAAACAGTTTGCATGTGGATCATGAATTGTTCTACTGCATGTTGCATTTGTGTGCATCTATCCTGTTGTGGCTAATTGAGATAAGCTACTGTGGAGTCAATGGGCATCTTTAGGAAGATGCAGAGAAAATACATACTATGCTACTCTTAGGTGAGGTGCAGAGCCTATGAAGAATAAATTGCAGCTTGCAATGCTAAGCTCAGTTTACAAGATGAAGCATATAGTTGCCCTGAGATTTGAGAACTCAGCCCTTCCAGAGTGCATTCAACTCAGCACAACAGAGGAGCTGAACAACTCATGGAACCGGAGAAACACCCATGAGTGATGCAAAAGAAGCTCTGGAGTGCATCATTTATATATTGTTTACATGCCCCCTGTAAGATAAAAGAATCTCATGGCTTTTAAAGTCTTATGGCTATGGCTTTTAAAGTTAATAAAAAATAATAACATACAGTAAAAATACAATTAACATTTTACTCACTAATAAAAGTATCACAGAAACTGTTGGTGTATTATGAAAATCACAGACCTAGCTGCTACATTGTAAAGATAAAATCGGTAGACTACATCAGCAGTCTTACTAATATTCTGTTGGGTCATCTGCCCCTGATTAAGTATAGGGTCAAATATAGATATACTTGAAGGCTTCCCATGGGCTCCCTGAATAGAACTTGTGTGCCACAGTTTGTGAACCTAAACACTAAAACTGTTTTGGCTCATGCTTCCTTAGAATCACAGAATAGTAGCGTTAGAAGGGACCAATAAGACCATAAGGTACAACCTTCTGCTCAGTGCAGGACTCTTCTCTTACCCTATCCCAATTAATTATTTTCCAAACATACAATGGTAGAATTCCTTCTCTAAATGTTTACATCTTGCCTTGTGTTTAAAACAAACAAAAGATGGCTTAGCAAAATAATAATTAATAAAACATTTGTCATCTATACAAATTTAACTCAGGTGTTTGGTATCTGTCCCCTCTTCTGGTTATTTCCCCAACCGGAGGGCTCCAGGTAGTTTTATCAACTGCACCTTGGGTTTGATAGCGCTGTTGCTGAATGCCAGGTCTGTCCATAATAAAGCATCCCTTATCCATGATTTAATTGTGGATGAGGGGGTCGACCGGGCTTGCATTAACGAGACCTGGGCAGGAGAAGTAGGGGATATTGCCCTCACTCAGCTATGCCCGCCTAGGTATCTTATCTAGAACCAGCCATGCCCTGTGGGGAGGGAGGGTCTCCCTGGTTCATTGAGCTTCAATTTCCTTCATGGAGCTTCCAGTCCCCTCAAGACAGGGTCTGTCTGTCTGTCTGTCTGTCTGTCTGTCTGTCTATCTATCTATCTATCTATCTATCTATCTATCTATCTATCTATTTATGGAACTTCTATGCCACCCCATTCGCTGAAGCCTTGGGGCGGCTCACAAACATAAATAAATAACATCCTATAAAACAATATAATTTAACAGTATAAATTAAGTCGCCCTAGCCGAAGAATAAAATAAATAAATAATATTACCAATTGTAGCTGGCAGTGGGTGATCGAGACAGATTAGGGATTCTTCTGGTGTACCGTACACCCTTCTGCCCATTAGACTCCCTGCCTGAGCTGACGGAGATCATCTCAGACCTGGTGTTGAGGACCCCAAGGATGTTGGTCTTGGGGGACTTCAATCTCCATGCCGAGACTGTTCTGACCAAGGTGGCTCTGGACTTCATGGTTTCCATCATGGCCATGGGGCTGTCTCAACCCCCTCATCGGTCCAGCCCATGAACAAGGTCACTCTCTGGACCTAGGCTTCTCAACAGGGCAAGAATATGGTGATCTGGAATTGAGTTACTTGCGTTTGACTCCCTTGTCATGGTCAGATCACTTCCTCATGAGGCTTGAGCTCGAGGCTGGCCTTTCCCTCTGTGAGGGTGTGGACCCCATTAAGGTAGTCCGCCCTCAGAGCATCTTTTCCCGCCAGGCAGAGCCCACTCATCTCCATGGTATATACCTGAGTCACGGGTGATGAAGTAGGCTGGGAGATGATTAGAGCACAAGTGGAGGAAATCATGGGATGAATCTGACTGAACATGCTTACATGCTCTTTATTGAGCCTATGCTGTGGTGGTGAGGGGGACAAAGAAAAAATACTTCTCCACTTCCATTGCCTCCTCACAGTGCCATCCAGCGGAGCTTTTTCAAGTGGTGCATGGCCTGATACATCCTGGCCCTAAAAAAGATCCAGTGGCACCATCGATAGCCCGCAGTGACACCTTTGCCCAGCACTTTAAGGAGAAAATCGCTTAGATTCATCACGAGCTGGACTCCACAGTTGATAGGGTTGTATTACGGGAGGTGTCCAGAGCCCTGTATGGTCCATGGATGCATTTCAATTGATGTGGCCTGATGATGTGGACAAGGTGCTTGGCCTGGTATGTCCTACCACCTGCTTACTCGAACCTTGCTCTTCATGGTTACTCACCAAAGCCAAACACAGGACTGGTACCTGGGCCCAGGAGATCATCAACGCCTCACTGAGGAAGGGCCCACCCTTTTAAAGGAGGCGGTGATCAGGCCCTTCCTGAAGAAGGCGTCCCTGGACCCAGAGGTGGCTGCCAATTATAGCCCGGTGGCCAACATCCTGGTTCTGGGCAAGCTGTTGGAGCGGGTGGTGGTGGGACAACTCCAAGCACTCTTGGATGGAATAGATTATCTGGACCCATTTCAGTCCAGTTTCAGTCCTGGGCACAGTACTGAATCTGCCTTGGTCGCCCTGTACAATGACCTGTGCAGGGAGAGGGATAGGGGGAGTGTATCCCTGTTGGTTCTCCTGGATCTCTCAGTGGCTTCAACCATCGACCATGCTATTCTTCTGGATATTATTATTTTTTATTATTATTATAACATTTCTATGCCGCCCCTTGCCGAAACCTCGGGGCGGCTTACAACATGATAAAATACATTGAAATACAATAGTACATAATAAATTACCATTAAATACAAAAATACAAAAAATACATTGACTTACAAATATAAAATTAAAATTATCAGTATAAAATAAAAATATAGGAGGAGAAAGAGAAGGAAGAAGAAGTTGCCCAGGCCAGATCATATGTTTTAACAATTGAAATGATGTTTAAATAAAAAGGTCTTTACCTGGCGCCGAAAAACCAGTAACGACGGTGCCAGGCGGACCTCTTTGGGGAGTGAATTCCATAGGTTGGGCGCCACCGCAGAGAAAGCCCTCCTCCGGGTACTTTCCTAATTTCTTTCATGGAGGATTCCCGGAGAAGGGACTCTCCCGCAGATCTCAAAGGGCGGTCAGGCATATACGGACGTAAGCGCTCGTTCAGGTAGCCAGGACCCAAGCCGTTTAGGGCTTTGTAGGTCATAACACCTTGAATTGGGCCCGGGCTTCAATGGGAAGCCAGTGAAGCTGACGGAGGACTGGAGTCATGTGAGCATAACGCCCCGTCCCCATCAGCAACCTGGCAGCTCTATTTTGCACCAATTGAAGTGTTCGGACTGTCTTCAGGGGAAGCCCCATGTAAAGCGCGTTACAGAAGTCTAGGCGGGAAGTCACCAGCGCGTGTGTCACTGTCGCCAGGCAGTCGTACTCCAGGTAGGGGCGCAGCTGATTAATCAGCCGAAGCTGAAGGAAGGCGTTCCTCGCCACCGCTGTCACCTGAGCTTCCAAAGAAAGCTCCGGGTCGAGGAGTACTCCTAAGCTGCGGACCTTATCCCTAAGAGGGAGTGTTGCACCATTCAGGACCAGGTCAAATCCACCCTCTCCGAAACCCGATCCGCCAACCAACAGGACCTCCGTCTTGTCTGGGTTGAGTTTCAGTTTATTGGCCCTCATCCATTCCCTTACCTCGGCCAAGCACCGGTTCAGCACAGCCACTGCCTCACCTGGATTAGTGGAGAACGAGAGGTAGAGCTGGGTATCATCAGTGTATTGATGATTCCGCAGCCCACACCTCCTGATGACCTCTCCCAGCGGTTTCATATAGATGTTAAATAGCAGAGGGGATAGAATGGAGCCCTGTGGTACTCCATGGCATAGCTGCCATGACGTAGAGACATGGTCCTCCAGCACTACCTTCTGGGATCGACCGTCGAAATAGGAGCGGAACCACTGCAAAGCAGTGCCTCCAACCCCCAATCCCGCAAGTCTATCCAGAAGGATACCATGGTCGATGGTAACAAAAGCCGCCGAGAGGTCCAGAAGAACCAACAGGGATGTACTCCCCCTGTCCTTCTCCCTGCACAGGTCGTCGTACAGGGTGACCAAGGCAGATTCAGTACTGTACCCGGGTCTGAAGCCGGACTGAAAAGGATCCAGATAATCAGTTTCATCCAAGAGTGCTTGGAGTTGTCCCGCCACCACTCGCTCCAACACCTTGCCCAGAAACGGGATGTTGGCCACCGGTCTATAGTTAGTGGCCATCTCTGGATCCAGTGACGCTTTCTTCAGGACCGGTCGTATTACCGCCTCCTTTAAAGGGGCAGGCACTCGACCCTCCCTCAGAGAAGCGTTAACCACTTCCAAGATCCAGGTCCCAATCCCGTGCTTGGAGTTATTTATTAACCAAGATGGGCAAGGATCCAATAGGCAAGTGGTGGGACGTACTCTTCCAAGCACCTTGTCCACATCATTGGGCCGCAATAATTGAAATTCCTCCAATAATTTTGGACCAGACGGTGGCATTGGCGACTCCTCAGAGACCTCTGATTCATTAGTGGAGTCCAGCTCGTGACGAATCTGAGTGATTTTCTCCCTGAAATGCCTGGCAAAGTCATCACAGCAGGCCTTTGAGGGTGGCATCGGATCTTCCTTAGGACCCAGGCTGGCAGGGTTAGGAGTAGGAGGCTCTGCTTGGCAGTGGTTCTTCTCCTACCTGGCCGGCCGATTCCTGAAGGTAGTGCTGGGGAACAACAGCTTTACGCCATGGCAACTCTGCCATGGAGTACCGCAGGGTTCCATTTTGTCCCCCTTGCTATTTAGCATCTACATGAAACTTTTGGGAGAGGTCGTCAGGAGGTTTGGGCTGCGGAGTCACCAGTATGCTGATGACACCCAGCTCGACCTCTCTTTTTCAACTAACCCAGGTGAGGCAGTGGCTGTACTGAACCGGTGCCTGACTGAGGTAATGGGCTGGATGAGGGCCAATTAACTGAAGCTCAGTTCAGATAAGATGGAGGTACTTTTGGTAGGTGGCTCAGGTTTCCAGGTGAGTGACTTTGGCCCTGATGGGGTTGCATTCCTTCTAAAGGACAGGGTCCGCAGCTTGGGAGTGCTCCTCGATCCAGAACTGTCCCTGGAAGCCCAGGTGACAGTGGTGGTGAGGAGCACTTTCTTTCAGCTTTGGCTGATCCATCAGGTATGCCCTTACCTGGACGAGAACTGCCTAGCCATGGTGACACACGCTCTGGTAATCTCCTGGTTGGACTATTGTAATGCCCTCTACATAGGGCTGCCTTTGAAAACGGTCCAGATACTTCAAATGATGCAAAGTAGAGCTGCCAGGTTGCTGTCGGGGACCAGTCGTTACTCTCATATGACTCTGGTCCTCCATCATCTTCTCTGGCTTCCTATTGAAGTCCAGGCCCAATTTAAGGTGCTGGTTATAAAGCCCTTATAAAGGCTATAAAGCCCTTAACGGCTTAGGACCAGAATACCTAAGCGTCTTTTTCTCTATATGCCCTCTCGCCCCTTAAGATCTGCAGCAGAGGCCCTGCTCTGTAGCTCTCCTTGAAGGAGATTGGGAGACACAATACCCGGAGGAGGGCTTTCTCTGTGGTTGCTCCCCAGCTATGGAATGCGCTCCCTACAGAGGTCCACCTGGCACCATCATTATATGCTTTTTGGCATCAGGTCAAGACCTTTTTATTCACCCAATATTTTAATGTTTAAAAGATTTTAATTATTTTTTATTTCAGTCATGGGTTATTAATTTTATCTTTCTTGGGGTATTTATTATCTTTTTTATTGTTGAATTTATTGAACCTGTTTTGTAAGCCGTCCAGAGACGCACAGTGATTGGATGGGTTAGAAATATCCCAAATAAATAAATGAGTAAATACACTGCTTGAACTACAAAATGAATGCAAAACCCTGCCTTCAGATAGACGCAGAACTTTGAAACTTACTATCTTCTGATACAGATAGTTAATTTCAAAGTTCTGGGACCAACTGAAAAGAATCTGACAAGTTCCGATAAACTCAGCCTCTCTTCAGGACAGGAGACTGAGCAAGATCAACCCCCTACAACTCAAGGGATAAATACACTCAAACAGAGAAAGGCACTCAATAAAATATGCAGTTCATTCAGGACATATAGATTTGACCAAAATAGACAAAATACAGATTTTCAATAATGCAAGCAGTGAAACCAGCAAAACAAATGGAATATTGCTGCACTGAGCACACCTGCCCTTGAAGGGACATTACTAGTGTTATTGCTAAAAATAGAAATAGAAATCTATGAATGTCCATGGCATTGCAGCACAGCTGCGCATTTGCCCAACTCCTGTTATCATTTAATTTGGTCTAGCAGGCAAAATTTTCTTTTCAAACCCCTCTGTGGATATCAAAGTATAAAATACTTACTTCAAACTCATTATAGATAAAATTATACATGAATTTAACAAATCCATTACTCAGATACAATTTAGACTATTGAAACCAACAGGCAAAACATTTTTAAATGAATAATAGCAAATACGTCTGTTCTGCTGAAGTCCAGCTCATCCATTCCTATACCTAAGAAGTGCTTCCATATCATTTTGAAAGTATTTATTCTCAAATGGTTGATCAGCTTAATGATCTCTGTAAGGACCCATGTCTTTTTCAGTAGTATCTCTACTGTGGGAATATTTGGTGATTTCCAGTTTGGAGCAATTTTACTGTCACCATTTCACAATCTCACTTCCATTTTGTGTGGTATAACTCTTCCCACCTTAATAAGCGATAGAAATTCAGAGAAGTGAAATTGTATTCCAGCACTCCCTGATTTAAACCCAGGTCCAGACCCTGCATTCTTTCTGCTAGATAACACTGGCATGGCTGCCATTTGTACAAATTCCTAATTTGGTGTTCATTTCCTTCTCCTCTATTTTTCTTCATAAACCAGCTATACAAAGGGATGTAAATGTAGTCATATGAGAGTACAATGCCAATTACAATAAAATGGATAATTCTCATATTTGCATTTGGTTTATGCTCTTTGCCTTATCCTCTGTGTGTATGATCCAACCATAGAAACATGCAACTAATTGTGAATGCACAAAAGATTTGGGCATGCGATTCCTAACCTGCACCATACCCAATGCCACAAGGGAAAAACAAATTTTGAAACTGAAGGTGCTTCCCAACATAGCTTGCAATATGACAAGCAGGTATATGTGTCTTTGTTGCTCAAAGAAGAAAAGGTTTTAAAATATCCTGCTATTTATGCCTTTGGTGAGCCTAAGTAAGTCTTTCAATCCAGTCCTTAAATATGTCTGTATTGCATGACTACAGTAGTCCTGTGTGTTGTTCAATGGCAAACTAGTTTCCTGATACTGAAAGATTTGGGTAAATCTTTTGCTGAAGACCAAAACTTTCCCACAGTAGTTATTTGGTAAAGTTTTGTTTTGTTTGTGTTATTTAATGATACTGTGACCTGCTGAAGCAACGGGCTGGAATGTTGACACTTATGATGTTTTCCATAATTTTTCCGTAGGAGACGTGATTGTCAGTGTGAATGAGACTTGTGTCCTGGGCCACACGCATGCTCAAGTTGTCAAAATCTTCCAGTCCATTCCTATCGGTGCCAGCGTGGACCTAGAACTGTGCCGAGGCTATCCTCTGCCTTTTGACCCAGATGATCCCAACACAAGCCTGGTAACATCTGTGGCGATTTTGGATAAAGAGCCAATCATTGTGAATGGGCAGGAAAACTACGACTCTCCGGCAAGCCACAGTAGTAAAACAGGGAAAGTGAATGGGATAAAGGAGGCAAGGCCTAGCAGTCCTGCAGAGGTGTCTTCAAATGGATCCCACGGCTACCCTAATGACACCGTCTCTTTGGCTTCTTCTATAGCAACGCAACCTGAACTCATAACTGTGCATATAATTAAAGGACCTATGGGTTTTGGCTTTACTATAGCAGACAGTCCTGGGGGTGGGGGACAGAGAGTGAAGCAAATTGTTGATAGCCCAAGATGCCGAGGCCTAAAAGAAGGGGATCTTATTGTCGAAGTCAATAAGAAGAATGTGCAGAATCTCACTCATAACCAAGTTGTGGATATGCTGATCGAATGTCCTAAAGGAAGCGAGGTGACACTGCTTGTACAACGAGGAGGTAGGTTTTCTGTGTTTAACTTTTTATCTACACCTAACTTGCAAAACTTACCTGGAATTTACATGCTTTTAATATTCCCAGCCTGCTTAGTTGGCTGAAAATTAACTGTTGACTTTTAAGTTCAATAATGTTTTTTTAAACAGAAGGAGAACAAAAATATATCCTCAATGTTTTAACTTTGTTTTGGCTTATGGGGAAGAAATGGCATATAGTATTAATCTCTCCAGAAATACCATAGCAAACACCATATGGAACTAATGCTTTTATTAGAGACATAGCTGACATTTAAACCTCATCATTATGTAACCTGAATATGATGATATTGTCTGATCTTAAGGTATCTAGTTTTAATGAGAAACTGAAATAGTGATTCAGCTGAATTTCCACTTAACTTTTGGTACCATTTCTGTGGATCATCTTTTCGCCAAATCATAGAAATGAAATTGTGAGGACCTTGCCTCAGTTGCTATGCTCGCCTTTCTACTTCTACTACAAAGTCATCTTGTTATTTGGTACCTAAATACATTTTGCACCCCATTTGTGCCAGCGCTTAGGTGGAAGAACAAAGGGCCATTTGTCCCTGGGTTACATCTGACTTTTCTACAATACGCATGTGAACCTGCCTGGAAGAAACTTTGTGAAGCCTCAGAATTAGTTGGCATGTACCCTGCCATATGCCGCCATTGGGTTAGCTCCCTCGCTCTTCATGGGACCTTTCCAGTCCCTTCACTTCGCCCCAGCATACTTCCAGGCATTTTCTTTCCTTCCTCCCTTCCCTGTGTCTAGATTTCCTTACTGCACTGCCTCTGTCCCCATAGTGGGGGCCACTATGTCAGGTTGGTTGTGTCCCTGCCAAGGTTCTGCCATGCTTGCACAATCTATCACTTTGGTTGCCTGATAGCTGAACAACTCAAAGATTTCCTAACTCTTCTGCACAGAGGATTTGCCCTGGTAATCGGGAAAAGGGACTTTTCACACCCATAGACTTAAAAAGAAGCACAGATGACCTGCTCCATTTTAGTTTTCTAGAATTTTTGATGGTCCAGTAACTTCTCCATGTACTATATGGGGCTACGTTTATTAGGCTGAAGTCTGGGAAATTATGGAATGAAGGCTCTTACAGGCACGGTGTCCAGGAAATGATGCAGCATAATGTCACCATGCTTACTGAACCCAGGTTAAATAGGAAAAAAAGGACAACTGGGTATGCAACTTCTATGTTAAATATTATATATACTATTTACACACCAAGTTTGAATGGCATTCTTCAATTTGTGAAACTTCTTTATTACCTTTATCTTACTTTGCATAACCAAATCAGCAGAAGTTAAAGGAGCAGAGCTTCCGTGCCTTTTATTGTGTAGAAGAGGAACATTTTGACCAATACAGCTTTGTCCAGTAGGGGTGAGAGGGGCTGAAATCCCTTCTACACTACTGTAGCACCCTCTTTTTCTTCCGAATGTTCTTTACTTTGTCCTTTACCTGTTCCTTTAGCAGAGCCATGGGTCCCTTAGTCATGTGTCACTATTTATAATTTGTCCTTTGCTTCCAGGAAGTGCATCTGGCTGTTGGCTTACGATCAAACTCTTTCCCTGTCTCTCTTGAAGGAGCTGAACCTGCTTGTTGCCTTTCTCTCCTTCTCCCTCTGGTGTCCACTGAAGAGAGTGCTAGGAAGAAGCTTTGCTGACAGACATTGGTTTTAGCAGCATATGCATCAACGTTCTGTCAGACCCCAGCAGTATTCCCCATCCTGGCACTAAAGCAAGTGTTCAGATTTGTCCAAAGGCTTTGTCAGCAGTGGCAATGCAGAAAAACATTGGAAAGGTAAAATATCCAGCCAGCTCCAAGCCACTGATGTAGTCCAACAATGATGTTTAATTGTTGCTATACAAAGCATATAGCTATGGAAAGAGGATTCTGCAAGGCATTTATTGTACTCCATCATTGGCTGAAGGTCTGACTGTAGCAATTAGATCACTTGGACCAACAGAACCTTACAGCGGCTACTAGGTTAAGGGACAGGAGGGTGGTAAATGAAGATCTTAAAAGGGGAAAGGGGGGCATACACAAAATCCTGTAACCTGCAATATGTCATTTGCCCTGTCTCAAAGTTACTCATAAAATGAGGCTTGATTCATATCCTACATTACGATAAGTAGTGCTGCTTTATATAAAGTTATTTCCTGTGCTCTGCTAATTTCAGCCACGTTGCCCCACAAAATTGAGGGGTTGAAATGTACTGTATGGCTAAAATTTATTAAATCACAGAGATCATTTCTTTAAAAAGTCATTGATCCTGTAATATCATTTTGAAGTACCTGTCACATCAATGTTGCAATATATGACTCAAGCAACTGAACAAAGAGGTCTGGTTTGGAAGAAATGAATGATTATAAATGTGGTTGTAAAGTTAGGAACAGCAAAATAAAAATGAAATTAAAACCATCAACATTAAAATTATTCAAGCACAAGCTAGCTATTTATTATGGGCAGTTCAGATATTATGGGCTACCATCAGTATTTGCTGAAATTTAGCATGAGTCAAAGATTTTTTATCAGACTTTTTCTTGCTCGGCTTCTGGAGATATTTTCAGAGTTCTAATGGCAGATCGTATGCAAACTATATCCCATCTCAGCGACAGAGCAATACAATATGGAGTAATATTAGAATAGGTTGTAGTATTATTTATTCATTTGTACCATTTCTGTACAATCAAATATGAAGAACAATCCTTAAGTGGTTGCCATATAAATATTAAAATCATAATTAAGCCCATAATAAAATAAAAATGTAAAACAATGTAATTATATTATTAATAATAGTAACAATACAGAACAGTGCAGGAGCAGTAAAATAAACAGCATGTTTAATTATGAACCAGAGAAAAACTAGGTGAACCACTGCATTTTAGGAGGCATTCAAAAGGTGCCACATTTTCTGCCCTCTAAATGGCATAAAAGTGATTTTCCTCCCAGAAAGGGTGGATGCTGCATCTGCAAAGACCTGCTATTGAGGTATTACATGGCAACATCCACTAACGATTTTAGTAAGGCGTCCTCTGGTTAGCTGGAAGGTAGTGTGCCAGGTTTCCTGATCCTAAGCTGTTCAGGCCTTTGTACGACAATAGCATAACCCTGACCATGGTTTGGTTGGTAATGGGTACTATATAGTCCTTTTAGCAGGTATCTTATTTGGGTATAGCTGGATGTCCCAGTGAACACACCAGTGTTGCATTCTGCAGCAGCTGCTGCTTCTGTGGACCAGTCCCAAGGCAGTCTCACATAGACTTCATTATAAATGTGGCATGCTGTATGGTATTTTTATTAGGGTATAATTATAGAATCGCTTCCATATAGCCTGAAATGCCTGATCCTGCCTTATCTTGGAAGCTAAGTAGGATCAGGCCTGGTTAGACTCTGGATGGGTGACCTGAGTGTATAATTCTATGATTATTGTTGTAAAACATCCAGAGAGCTTTGGCTATGGGTGGGATAGAAATGATGGTGGCAATGATGATTGTTGTTGTTGATATTTCCATGTTTCCAGCGTACTGGAATGTAAAGATTCTTTCTATTCCATCCCCTGATGTACTTAACTGAAGTCAACATTCTTGACTGACTATAACCTGGTTGAGAACAGGACTGCAATTAAAAACAAAAAACAAAACTAATGACCACATCTGGCCCCTGAATAAGCCAAGTTATACATGAACTTTATGCACCAACACACAATGTCTTTGTTTTGTTGGTTCCTCCATTCATTCACACAAGCAAGTCAGGAAGCTGCAGTTAACCATAGCGTCCATTATTAATCCAAGATATAATTGTTTACCACCACCACTGTGTTCCTCTTTTGCTTGGCATTGAGCTGCATCCAAGGACAGCATATGCCTCTGATCATTCTTAATGGCATCGTTTCACAGAAAAAAAATGTTTTTCACTCACACTAGAAGTGTTATTTGTTGCTTTATGATGGAGTCATGACAGAAGTACCATGTCCACATTCACTTTTGTATACTATTCTGTCTGGATTTTAGTTTCTTTTTATAATGATATGAAACCTCCATAATTGGTGTTACAATTATATATCTGACAAACTTTGATTCTTAAGGAAAGCAGCTCAATTTTCCTTTCTTTCTTGAGATAAAAGGTGAGGGCAAGAGAAACATACCACATCACTTTCTGTTTGCCCTATAATGTTAAATGGTTTTAACATTTGTTAGAGCAAAAGGAAAAAAAGATTCAGGATGTGTTACAAAGATGACTGTAACACTGTGGCTCCCCTTCCTTAATATGCTGTGCTTTTATTCATTGAGGAGAAAATGTGGAAAGCCTCACTGCTACATTGACTTGCTTCCTCCCTATATTTTCCCTTCTCGGCTACATCCCAGCAACATTTTTGTCCAAGTTCTGTGTTAAATTGCCCAAGGGAATATGTATCCCAGCAGTGCATTCCCCACCATTAACAGCTGGATGTGGAAGTCCCATTTTACTCTTCCACAGTGCCCCAGATGTATCTCCTTTTCCCACAGTGCACTGGATCAGTTCTTTCTAGGAGGCACAGTGGCTCCTAGACCCAGCTCCGATAGAAGAAGGCTGTTGCTGCCCATCTCTGTATGTAAACCTCCTAGAACTGTTTCACATGGGAGTGGCCCACTGACATAGGAGTGTGGTCACTGGATGATACCTTGCCAAGAACCTTTAAACATATGCTTAAAGGTTCTTTTCCATTCGAATCTTTAGTTAATCCATTGTTTCCCTTGCGCATCACTAGATTCTTGAATGACAAATTAGAAATAGCCTTTTAACAAATTGTCCTAGATTTACATTCTTCAGACCTTTTGGTATCCTGGCAACCTCATACCCCTCTTCTTCTGCTTATGAATTACCTTTATGACCCTGCTTTTATTTAGAACAGGGGTGGCAAGACACAGCCCATGACTGTATGTATGGCTACCCCCTTCCAGTGTGGATCCCCCATAGCTTGCTGCTTCCTGAAC